GAAAGAAAAATCCTCTTTCAAGAGGCACAAAGTCCCGAGAAGTTCCTCTTCTAAAGAGGCACAAAGTCCCGAGAAAGTCCTCTTCCAAAGAGGCACAAAGTCCCGAGAAGGTCCTCTTCTAAAGAGGGCACAAAGTCCCGAGAAAGTCATCTTCTAAAGAGGCACAAAGTCCCGAGAAGGTCCTCTTCTAAAAAGGCACAAAGTCCTGAGAAAGTCCTCTTCTAAAGAGGCACAAAGTCCCGAGAAAGTTCTCTTCCAAAGAGGCACAAAGTTCCGAGAAGGTCCTCTTCAAAAGAGACACAGTCCCGAGAAAGTCGTCTTCCAAAGAGGCACAAAGTCCCGAGAAGTTCCTCTTCTAAAGAGGAACAAACCCTTGAGAAAAGTCCTCTTCCAAGAGGCACCAAATTCCTGAGAAAAGTCCTCTTTCGAGATATACTAAGTTAAATCCTTACCCACGAGGTAATGAGACCCTCCAAAAAAAGGTCCTCTTGCCGAGGTTCCAAGAAAATTTCTATCCCATGAGGCAACCCGCTGAGTCATATAGTTTTGAATTTGTCTCGTTCCCCGAGACAGACTCAAAACTAGGGGGGCATGTGATGGATTAGGGATTTTTCCTAATCCAATATTATTTGAACAGTACAAGAAAACCCAATTTTATCTAGCCCAAGATATAAATCAGATAAATTATTCAAGACAGAACCAGAGATATATGGACAAAAGAATATATTTGAAGTGATGTGGAGACATTTGGTGGGACCCGTGGAACATTATCACATGGAAACCATATGCCGCACATGGGTTTCACATGGACAATGTCCCCTCTTGTCTCCATCAATTATTTCCTTCTCCCTTTTAAATGCAGGTTACGAAGGAGGGAGGAGAGAAGCCAGATTCCTACAATATGTTCCTACTATTTTTCATTTTTCTTCTTCTTTTAGCTTGGAGCTCCATTAAGGGCTCCAAGCTCCTACAGTGATGTATATGTAAATTCTCCCGATATTAATAAAAGTTCCTCCCCCTCTGGCATGGCACCGCCTAAAAAGGCCCGTGGTTTTCNGACAGACTCAAAACTAGGGGGGCATGTGATGGATTAGGGATTTTTCCTAATCCAATATTATTTGAACAGTACAAGAAAACCCAATTTTATCTAGCCCAAGATATAAATCAGATAAATTATTCAAGACAGAACCAGAGATATATGGACAAAAGAATATATTTGAAGTGATGTGGAGACATTTGGTGGGACCCGTGGAACATTATCACATGGAAACCATATGCCGCACATGGGTTTCACATGGACAATGTCCCCTCTTGTCTCCATCAATTATTTCCTTCTCCCTTTTAAATGCAGGTTACGAAGGAGGGAGGAGAGAAGCCAGATTCCTACAATATGTTCCTACTATTTTTCATTTTTCTTCTTCTTTTAGCTTGGAGCTCCATTAAGGGCTCCAAGCTCCTACAGTGATGTATATGTAAATTCTCCCGATATTAATAAAAGTTCCTCCCCCTCTGGCATGGCACCGCCTAAAAAGGCCCGTGGTTTTCTCCCAATTTGAGTTTCCACGTATAAATACATTCTCTCCGTTTATTTATTTATTTAATTTTCAGATTTCGCTATTTGGTGCGGTGACAATCCGTACCGATTTCATTGGGTCGACGCCCCGAAAAAGCGGTTTCTATCATAAACAAAATTAAAGCGAACATCCAGACAAGAGTGTTCAAATTTAATGATTGATTTATACGATTTATCATTTGATAAGCAAAAAACAAAATGGTCTATTCATTCTATAATTAAATTTATATTTCTTAATGGATATCTCAAAATGAATTTTATAATAGTAATTTTTCACTTTCCTATTTTTTTCCTTATATCCCTAAATAATTTTTTCACTTTATTTTTTGTTTGTCTCGAAATAAATTTAACAATATTTTTCTCATCTGTATTAATATTAACTAAAATTTTTAAATTTTTTAAACCCACTGAAAATTAAAACGAGAACTTTAAATTGAGATAAGAAAGGTACCAATTTACCCAAAAATTAATAGTCAGGACCCCATGACATAAAATTTTTAGATCGGCTCTGATTTTGATTATAGAGAATATACATTTACAAGTAACACAATACTCATCACATCTAAAATAAGGATTGATGTGCAACTAAAATAAAAACTATATTAAATAAGTATTGGCTACTTGAAGTATGTGTCATCATGTACCACCAGAAATAGTTCATAGATATAAGCAAAATAAATAGGATCAAAAAAACATAGCAAAAATTGAGTTCTTAAATTATGAATGTTCATGCTTACTATTGACAAGATCAAACTAAATTTATTTTCTCAATACATTTTTGTCGATCATTTTCAAAAATAGTCATGTAATCACTTAATTTATAGAACTTTTTGTGTACTTTTTTAATATATACGGAGTACACTTTAAATTCTTGATCAATTTTTAGTTATAATTTTTTGAAAATAACTTCAGGCAGACATTGTAAACCTAAACCAGAACATTATTTCAAAACTGGGAGGGAAAATAAATAATGTTTATGAAATATTTTATTTATATGATATTCTTCTAAATAATTGTAAATAATCTAAAAAATTTACTTTCAAATTTATAAAATAATATTTGTAGTTTTTATTATCATATTCTCATCCTATAATTTAATGTATTTTTTATTTTGAAAATGGACAAATCTGAAAAAATACTCAGTTACCAAGTACCATTTTGAAAATTAGTATAAGGTTTAACATCGTTTTAATGCCATTTTAACAGATGTTAGTCGATGGACAGAACTGAGAATTACTCTTATTTAACTAGTTTAATTTTACTCTTACTTTCAATAAATTGTTGTAATTTCAATTTTTGTTTTGCAATTTTGAAAAGCACACACAAGTTATTGAGTAGTATATTACCCCTAAATTATACTCCCTCTGTCTTAATTTAAATTACATGTTTTGGTTTGCGCTGTTTGACTAAAATTATTTTTAAATTATTTTATATGAAAAATAGTGTAGAATTAAAAAATTAAAATTACATTTTTAAAAACTAGATCAAAGATCTACAAAACTAGTAGTAACATGACTATATTATTATTTTATCATGACTAACCAAAATAAAGAAAGAAAATAAATAAAGTTTCATCCTGTGTAATAAACAAATAATTTAATTTGGGACGAAGAAAGTAGTTTAAATACCAAAATTTGCCTCTCATCATTTTTGATGGGTCTACATTAACAATTTTAGGATCACTATAAAAATATTAAGAAGATTCCCACATTTGATGCCTAACCCACCTCTCGAGTCTCTGTTCTGTTCTACTTTTAATTTCATTTCAGTTATCTAATCCCATTTCAGAATCTAAAAAATGTGGCAACCAAAATTTGGATTTTACGCATTATTTTTTTCTCATACCCAACATTTTTAATTTTTTTAATATATGCTCTGTATAATTTTGAAATATATAATTTGTATTTTTTATTTGTATACTAATTTCTAAATAAAATAGTCATAAAAAAGGATGCAATTTCACAAGTTCAAAGTGAGACAAGATCTTTGAGAAGGCGGGAGTATTTTATAGTATGAAATTTTTTTTAACAGCTTATTGTTTTCTCTATTTAACATTTTCAAATATTTAGATGTTACTCATATTTACTTTATGATAATTTAGGATTAATCCCTTGATTAATATAATTGGATATGACATTCAGAGTAATATACGGAGTATTAAGTATAGTGTAAAATAAAACAACACAAGCCATGTTCTCTTCACCTAATCTGATTGGAATAAGTTCTGATTTGATCTGAATGTAGTTATATTTAAAGTTATTTCAGATATGATTTGGTCTCATCTGACTGGTTCTAGTAGTAGTAAGTAAAAATTAAGTTGAGAACATGGCCCCAATAGGAGTGAAGTGTAGGCAGAGAGTATTAGGGGTGGGTTCGGTTCTGGCGGTTCGGTTTTTACCTAAAACCAAAGACAAAACGGAAGGTAAATTGGCGGTTCGGTTCGGTTTTGCATAAAAAATATGAAAACCGTTGGTTATTCGGTTCGGTTTTTTACGGTTTTTATTTCGGTTTTTTTCGGTTTTTTCGGTTTATAAAAGTAGAAATTTATAAACATTAAAAAATTATAAAACACTAACTCGATGAAACAATAAAAATATGTAGTGTTAGCTTTGGTTTTTTTGTTTGATTTTTACACAAAAACAAAAAACCAAATAGAAGGTTATTGCTCCTTTTAGTTTAATTTTACATAAAAAAGTGGAGCGCCAACAAACATTTAGAAGATTCTAAATACTTCCAAAGACATCGTATGTAAAATCAATTATGAAGAATTTATATTTTTTGTATAATACTTTCAATTTCATCATAACATCAAAGTATTTTTTATGTAAATATGTAAATTACGCGTATCAATTTTTAATCTTAATATGATTCTATATTAGGATTACTATTGGATGGTGTTCATATATATTCTTAAGTTTTTTAAAGTTGATAATAATATGGCTAGATTATTTAATTAATAGATAAGAAAATAATTTAAATCGACTAGTAATTTATTTGCATTTATATTTCTATGACTTTTTTATATATCACACACATTCATATAAATTAAGTAAAGTATCTAAAAAAGTTCAGTTTATTCGGTCGGTTCGGTTTTTCAAAGTGAAAACCAAAACGGAACCAAATACTAACGGTTCGGTTCGGTTTTTTTACATTCGGTTTCGGTTTTTTCGGTTCGATTTTTTACTAGCTCGTTTCGATCGATTTCGGTTCGGTTTGCGGTTTTCGTTTTTTCCCATCCAGCCCTAGAGAGTATAGTGTAAAATTCCAACCCATTGGAGGAATCTGAACCCTAATGCCCGAGGCCATGAACAAATATCTCTCAGCCTATATTTCAAATCGCCCTAAATAAGTACCGAACCGGATCCGGTGACCTATTTGACAACAACTCTAATTCCATACTCCACGCAAGGATGCAAATTATCAAAACAAAAAATCGTCCAATTTTTTCGCTATGTTGAATTCCTTTGTCACTTCATCAATAAAACAAGTTAGTTGTACATAACCAAGTTGTTCAGTCTAAAAAAGACATTGTGACACAATCCTGATGAGCAATGAATCAACAGAGATCACAGGCGTTTGTTTTTAAACCATCTATATCAAGGCTAGCCAGAACTAGTGATTTTTCAAATGTACAGATGGTAATAACCAGGCCGTGTGTGTGTATGAACACTACTACAATCAAGCAAGCCTATAAAGCATAGCCAGTAGTAAGAAGAAGATATAAAACCTCTCAGCTAATTGTTCATGACTCTGCATTAGTGATGTCTTCGGCGCTCTTTCTCCCTTGATGAATAAGAGGAACTATGATAGTCCCGATCTGCATAAAAAACGAAGCTTCATTTTGTTAAAAGACAGTTTTGGTAACACTTCGCTCTATAATGTAAACACACCTCTATCTAAGTAAGTTCACTATACCTCCGGAAGAGTGGCGTTTTGACTTCTCCTGGCGCCCTGCATCGTTAACACAAATATTTAGTTAGCAAATATTATCAATGCAAGATTCACAAGCTAATTTGAATATTTATTCGTCAAAAATCAAAATAAGGGAGCCCTATTTGATAATTTATTTTTGTCCCGAAATAAAAAGAAGAAAGATTCTCATCTCCACAGAATAGTTAAATTTACATACCTGCTCCGTCCCGAATTTATTGTCTCTGTTTGACTTAACGGATTTTAAGAGAGTGTTGAAAAGTAAAAGGTAAGTGGTTGAAATTTGTTTAGAAGAAAGAGAAAAATTATAGACCACATATTTTCTTTACTTTATTAGGAAAGTAAAGAAGCGAGATAATTTTTTGGGGCTGACAGAAAAAGAAAGTGAGACAATAAATTCGGGACGGAAGGAGTTACATTTAATGTATCTTTTTAGAAGTTTCATGAATACCTTCTCTTTAGCAATTTAGGAAACAAGAATAATTATCTAGCCTTTAGGGAATGTGAGAACGTAGGACAAAAAAAAGACCCCATTTTTTGAGTTTGGATTATTCAAAAATTGATGCACAAAGAGACCCTTGGCATTGGAGAATCAACCACTTCTTTTTTTTCTAAGTCGCTCAAATAAAGTATGTCAACTTTAATTAAACTATCATATAAATTTAAAAGACAGCTAGAATTGATTGTTTTCAATTATCGTAGGTCTTCTTCGTACCTCGCTAAAATTAAAACATTCGGCAAAAAAGTCTCTTTTTTTGGGAGGGGGAACAAAGTAATATTACCTTTGTCTCTTGAGTGATAGCTCCTCCCTTTGGCTCGATCCTTTTCCCTTTCAATATCATCCCGCTCCCTTTCTCTTCCCCTATCGCGGTCCCATGACTTTGATCTTTCCTTCTTCCTCTCCCTCTCTCTATCCCTATCTTTGTTCTTATCCTTTTCACCAGTTCCTGCTTCTGTCTTGCGTACAATTATTGATTTCGACCCAGGCTCATCCCTTATTTCTCCTTCAGGAAACGAGCTTTTAGACTCTTCGCTGCTCTTTGCCTTCTCAAGAGGAGCTCTTGTCGCCACATCTTTACCCACTTCCTGACCCGCTGCAGCAGCTGGAGCTCCCTTCTGAGTAGCACTGGTGTCATCATTCCCGGATGGGCCATTTGATGCAACTTCCTAATAAGTGACAGAAAGGAAAATAAGAAAAATGGTGATAAATAAGATAATTCTTGCAATCAAAACCGGGCATTAATTCAATATTCTGGGGTTGACTGTATTCTTGACTAGTTGACTTAGTTTGAATGAGAAGTAAAAAATGGGGAAAGGATTTGTATAAAGAAGAAAATTACGAGTTTTAACTCTAACCTGTTGAGCTTAATAGCAAAAGGATCACACGAGAAAGTACAAAGTTTAAAGGACTTAAGGATTGAGGACAGTTTTGACCTTAGGCACTGACTGAGATGGTGAATCCCATGATCTATTTGATGTTGAAAATGAACCAGCTTCCTTGCACACAGGCATATATTGTGCCTTTGGAAGGCTGTAAAGATGGGCCAGAACACGACAAACTTCATCAATCCCAGCCTTGTCTGCATCAAATGCTTTCCACCATGGAGGGTTCTCAGGCAATGGCACTTGAAATCTACGGGCTGCAGCATACACAACTCCACAGGCCACAACCTCACTCTTAAATCTAACACACAATGTTGTGCGCAAACTGAGGAACAAATGATGACAAGTGAGCAAAACGAAAGACAAGTTATGAGGGAAAGAGAAGAGCACGAGGAAAAAGAAAAAAATCATGAAAACAAAGCTAAATAGTTATAAGTGCTGATTAGAAACAACCCAAAACAGAACAAAACCAAAGAAAAGATAGAAATTAGTTGTGAGATCTCTACAACTAAAAATAAGAAGAAACGTAAGCGACTTGTTAGTGTCATTACATTCGGCCCAACGTATAGTGGGGGGATCACATAGGTTAAGGGACGTACACAAGAAAGCTAAATGATGCAAAGCCTTATTGCTACGGGTCATACACTGCATTAGATTACGAAAGGTCAACTGAAAGCTTGCTCAACATATCCTGAGACTGAGGATGGCAAGACCTATTTAATACTCCCTCCGTCCCTAAATGTTTACCACATTTCAAAAAAAAAGAGGCAAAATATCAAGTTTTTTCAATTCATTTTATTTAAATATTGGTATAGAAATTAAAAAAATTACTACATTTTTAAAAACTACATGAATAATTCTTTGAAATAAGAGGTTTCAAGAATATTTTATTTTATCAAATAATCAATGAAAACGTATAAATAAACAAAAGTTACCGTGATGGTTGAAAAAGGAAATGTGTCAAACATTTTGGGACGGAGGGAGTATATCCTTTAGAATTGTGTATAAGATTAGGAACCCACCATCTTGATCAACTATCTTTTATCATACATGGAAGGGAACCCAAATTACAATATTCACTCGATCAGGTATCTTTTATCAACACCCATGGACACTTATCTTTTATCAACACTCTCCGCTACTCCATCCACTTTTGGATAAAGTGGTTGCCCACATGGACTAAGTGGATACTATTCCTCCTCTACTTGGTCCCTGTCACTCAGATTCATCCTTACCCCCTAGGCCTGTGGAAACAGTGAAACACTAGAGATGGTTAAATCCATGTTAAAAATAATTGCACAATCAGTCAATTGTGTGATCATTCCTTTCTTTTGGATGAACTGTGTGCTCTCGATATGCTTTGAGAGAAAGATAAGAACACCTATTTCCTAGGTCATGTATCCCCGAGACCAAGTATCACTCAGAGCATTCTTACTTAATTTATCATTTCAGTGTGTGAAGCTTCATGCCTCCACAAATGATTTTATTTTAGTATGTTGTGTTGTGATCATTCTATAAGCTTGGGTGACCAGGCCATCAGTGATATCGTGACTTGGTGCATTTGATGGCCTGATCTGATATCATTCACTTGATATGATTCACTGTACCACTAATACTTTTCCAGCATGAAAAGCTCTGTTTACCACCATGGAACTTTATTTGATGATACGCTTATCACCCAACACGTGTACCCATGGGGGAAGTCATTGTTTGACATGATATTCATTAGTACATTGGATGGAACTATTTCACCATGGCGTACTGTGCATGAACTTTGAAAGTTAGATTTGAGTGCTTGTATAGTGTATGTAGACATATTTTATCATTCATTCATGTATGGTGTCAGGAGTCATCCTCGATGACAAGATTGGCTTCTTTGGCGAATTTACGTTATTTGAACATATTAACAAAAAAAACGTGTATTTCTTTACCATCAAGATAATCATAATTAATCTTGATAATTTGATAATTATGGAAAACTCGAAAGTATTGAAACTCTCAAATTTCAGAGGAAAGAATCCCTCAATACTTTTATAAACTTGAAGTATAAGCCAATTTAAAGGACAAACCCCCAAAAATACAAACAAACTAAAATTACAATAAATTCTTAAAGTGGTAGGGGTTGATTTGGACAAATAATGCAATCGGAAGAGCGCATTGATCAATGGGGTGAACCTTAGTCGTATGTAAAACCCTGCATTGGTACACTTTGGTGTGCACTAATTGTTAAAGATGATTGGAAAGCTTGCCTTCAACGCAGCATAAATCACAAACATTAGAGTGTATGCATTTAGTTTGTGTACTTCACACACACAACAGTTAGTTAGGGTGTATTTGTTTAAATAGCCTCTCTATTACCGAGTAGGGGTAACTGGTAAGGTCAGCCAACGTGCACACACCCTCCATGTCCTCATACCCTAGTTTTTGTGGGATTTTACTGGGTTTGTTGTTAATTGTTATTGTTGCTGTTAAAGAGCTCATGGAGTACTTATAGACTTTTAACTTCCAGCAGTTCGACATTAACATCAAATATCTTAATAAAACACTAAACTAAGAACTAATCTTATCACTTTGTGCTATTCATAACAAACACTATTTTTTGAATATCTACAATCTGTAGTATTTTAAAGAGAGCAGGTGTGTTGAAGTAAAATAAAAGGACATTAATATATGTCAGGCAAACAGATCTACTTGCTTAAAAATACCTGTCATTTGCAAGATTCCAAGCTTCCTGTCTCAATTCATCAGGCATTCCAAGAGTTGCAATATAGTTTGATATAAATTTATGAGGGTGTTCAACATGGCAGACAAAACCCATCTCTTTTAGAAGATGCCTTTCTGTACGGACCAAATCTGCCTTCAGTTCCACATATTTCTGCGCAAAGAATGAACAAACAACAACAACAACAACCCAGTTAAATCCCACAGGAGTAGGGTCTGGGGAGGGTGTGTGTGCGCAGACCTTGCCCCTACTCGAAAGTAGAGAGGCTGTTTCCAAAGAGACCCCCGGCTCAACGTCGAAAGTTGCATTGCTTGACTAACTGCTACTTCATTAATTAAAGAAGCGTAGACAGTTTAGAGATCCATTTTGATTTATTCTATCACACCCCAAAGCCAAAAAATGGTGAAATTTTGGCTCCATCGGAGATGATGGAATATAAACAACCAACTAGCTTTCAGATGAAAATACTCCATATATAAACAAGAATGAAACTAATAACAAACATCTTCATTCTTTTTGTAATTTCAATCGTCTGTCAAATGTGGATTCATTAATCAAGTGATGGACACAGAGAAATATAGCAGTGAAAAGGGATCAACATCCAATAATCCAAACAAATACAAAATCCTGAACTCTGCAAAGCAAAAAAAACTAAAAAAAGCCAATATACATTACTCTGCTAAGATAAGTGTCTACCCTTTGAATGGTAAAAATAGATGAATGGACTATTCAAAATCTAACCTTTGAATTAGTATCAAAATGCTCTATGGGTAAATTCTCCCTCCGGCATTCCAACCTGTGGAAAATTGTGAGGACCTGTCTGGCTTTTCTAGGACACTCTTCAAGTTTTGAGGCAAGCCACACACAGCTTGCAGCAACCCTCTGCATGCAAAACAACACCATGTCAGCATGTAGAGCTGAAGATCACAAATTATGAAACTTATATCGTTGCACTACTAATTTTATGTTTTCATTTTCGGGTAGAGGAAAAAGGAAAGAGATATACCTTCACGTTGTAATGAGCAAATGATTTCTTGCAGTAAAAACGGTGGAATAGTACCTGACCAGTGGCCATAACCGCTTGAGGTCTGCACATAACCATATTAAGGAGATACAATAGCCATATACTGGTGGAAAAAACCATATTTACAAATGACTTACTTGAGGATACATGAGTATTGCTGCAAAAAAATGCAATTACAAATAAAGGATACAGTTTCAACAAAATTCCACTCTCTTGTATAAAATCACACCCATAGATTTGAAGAGTAGTTTCAGTGGCGTCATCTATTCCATCTCTCCTAGAAGGAGAGTTCTTGAGCTGCTCATCCGTTAGGTAAAATGTGTCAATTGCTGTGTAAATCATAGCAATTCAGGAATTATATCACCTGCAAAGAAAAAGGAAAACAAGTTTCAGATGCAATTCTGCAGTAAACCTATTCGCCATTGCCCTATTGCTGCTAAAGATGAAAGCCCAATGAACCATGTCCGCAACAGACCTTGTGAGAAATTGCACGGCTAACCAGTCGGCGTATGGATGACAGGATATGATGTCAAACACCTCCGCCCCTCTGGCGGAGATACAACAGGGATATGCACAGATTCAGGCAGGGACCGAAGCAAAACAGATGGAGTGAGGGCGTTGGATTGTAAGCAGGGCCAGTCCGTAACATAAAAGGGCCCTGTGCACAAAACAAGTGGCTCCATTGTATCAAATAAATGTGCACAAATGCACAATTTAAAGAAGTTTCATACTAATTACTTATTAAATTTGTTACAATGAAGTAGAAAACCTGAATACACTTTCTACATGACTTTCCCAATGAGTATTGACTCAACCCTTTTACAATAAGGAGTACATTTCAAAACATGCCACCTCTTTGTTGAATTAGCAAATGTTGTGTAGATTCGTTGGACGACACCAAAAAAATATCTTGCTATTCTACAACTATCCCCAACATCACACAAAGTCAAGTTCTGACAATTTGACAATTTCCTTCATTCCATTTACTATTTGAACTAAATAGCAATAATTGTTTTTTTAAAAGAGTAAAAAATCAAAACAAAACTGATTTTTTTATCAAATTGCAATTCATTCATTATTCTAAATAAAAACTAAAAATTAAAACTCAAAGAGAAAGAAATAACTCAAATCGCACAATTAAAATTTAAAAAAGAAACTATACATTATCTAAATGATGAAAATTGAAAAGGAAAATAAACTTAGGGAGTAAATCATACTTGGACTACTGGAGGGTGAACAGTGCAGAGCGGAAGCAGCGGCGGCGCAGTGCGGTGCGCCTTCGGCGTCGCGGTCAGCTATCTGCAGGTAGCGACTCCGTGCGAGTGGCGATTCTATTTTTCAGATTGGGGCATATATACGGTATTGAGCAGACAATGCGAAATTGCGCATCTCTATTATTATTAAGGACCTGCTTCTTCAGCACTACAGTTTTGAAAAAGTTATCCGACGGTAGCCTTTAACGTTAGTGTTTTCAGAATTAATCTGCACCATTAAAATTTTATCCAAAACGCTAACGCTAATCGAAAACGCTGTTACCAAACAAAGCCTAACTCTAAGCTTGCAAGTTCGTTAAAATAACTTATATTTAATCTTGTTTTGGAATAAAATAAAATGAAAAAAAATAAAAAGATTACAAATTTTATTAAAATTGCCCAAAAAATATTTTGTACATCAAGGATTGTAATCGAAATGCACTGTCAGAGTTTTGAAACACTTCTTTATAAACTACATTCGTAGTTTGGTTTGCTGTTAGAAAGTCTTTATTGCAAAAGTACTTTAATACGAAATTGAATACTTTAATTAATAAATAAAATATAAACCAAAAATTCAATATATATATATATATTGGTTCAGGTGATAATGCGATTTTATGAAAGAAATAAGAATGAATCTGGTGCTTTAGATTGTGAGATCTAAGGGTTAGGATTGCATCAAAATTAGGTGCACCAAAATGGTTTGAAAATGCATCACGTCGAAATGCACCAAAATCCTTTGAAAATGCACGATCTCAAAATCTGAGCCGCACGATGCATCAAATCCAAAGGCTAGATTTTATTCTTATTTCTTTCACCAAGGTGCATTCTCATGTGAACCGACCCATATATATATATATATATATATATATATATATATATATATATATATATATATATGACATACCATTCGTTATGTTTGACATTGGCGATGGAGTGCATATATCTCGCATTGTTGAATTTTTAAGTGGATCACATTCCAAGAGAGACTTTCTCCTCAAATTTACTCTACCAAAACTCTTAAAATTGGAATTATCTTTCAAAACATTGCATCTTCCGTTTTTTATTCCAAACATTTAAGTGATATGTTAAAATTTAATTTACTCAAGATAGAAGTTATGATGTTCCACTTTAAACTTAATATTTAGAATTTAATAATAAAAAAGCATAGTTTCTAAACGTATCTAATTCTATAAATTTAGGTTTTAATAATTAAAAACTAACATTATGCAAATAAAAATAGGTATACAAACTTGGAGCATACAATGTTTAACTTAAAAACTAATAATAAAATTCCTGTTTTAATTTTGCAATAAATACAATAACTTAAAGAATATAAAAATGTAATTTTTGTAATATTATTTTATACAAATATATTTTTTTCAATTTTCTTAATTTTCTTTATTACAAACCAAGTCTAAAAAAAGAAGTGTAGCCCAAAAATTTTAGCAAAACCAGAGCCCAGTCCATAAGGTCAATCTAGCCCAGTTTTTAGCCCAGTTTAAAAATATAATCAGTATAACCTATCTCCTGGCCGTCATTCACGGCCACACGTTCATCCGCCGCCTCCACCGATCTTCTCTCTATCCTTTACCTTCTTTGCTTTCTTCGATGTGCAATCGCAGTCGATGCATTACTCCAGAGAGCGAGAGAGAGAAACAGGTAGAGTGAGAGAGGAAAACAGTGGGATAGATTGATAGGATGTTATTTGAAAAAGAGAGATAAAGAGTTTGGAGAGAGAGAGCTTCGAGAAATCAGTGGATAGAGAGACGAAGTACATCATCGGTGGGATATCATCGATGCAATCGCCGGTATTATTATATAATTTTTCATAGAAATTTCTTTTTTCAGAGTTCATACTCCCTTTTAATCAAGAATTCGAATTTATCCTAGATCTGCTGATTTCTATAATTGTTCAAAATTTTTAAAATACTTTTTAAATGTCATGCATCATGAAATTTTTGGTGATCTATTTTTAAACAACCATGCATGTTCATTAAGACTTCAAATTATAATACGGATATAGTTTATAAAAGAAAATTTGTTATACTTTTAGACTAATTAGATTTCTGAAAATAGTTTTAGTAAAAAATAATTTTCCATTAGGCATTATTTGTAAATTTTATACTTTTTCTGTTTTTCTCTATCTCTATATACTATAATTTCATGACCTAAGATATTTGATATGGTTTGCCGCTAAAAATTTCCATGTCCAATTTTAATGTATAATTATGAAGTAGAAGGGTTATTTTAATATATAATGTATTTTAAATGTTAAAACTATACAGTTTATGAAATACTTCAAGGAAAAATATTTATTTTCATTTAATACTAATAATTTTTCTTATACCATACAATTAAGAACTTATTATTCTGATTTGTAGACATGAAATCAGAAATATTCAGGCCCACTTTTTCACTAAAAATGTTTTAGTGATTCTATACACTTTTTTCCTACAATTTGCTTTTGTAAAAAATATTTATAACTTGTTTATCTTAACCTCATAAATGGGAGTGTACATTAAAAAAGATAAAGCTATTAAACCCCTTTGTACATGTTCAAGTAATCACTTTGAACATGTTAAGGTTTAATTGTACAGTATGGCATTATCTTGTGTAGTTTCAAGTGTGTACATATCTTAGAAATAAGATTGTTTTAGATTTCTTGGTTCAATAAAAAGTAGATGTATTAAATGGAAAGATCTTCTCAAACTCATCACATCTCTAATTTCCATTTTCGAAGGACGTGTTTATAGTTTATAACTGCATAATTTTTTCCTTAAATATAGACATGAAGAAATAAAAATTTTGATGTGCATATAGTACAAAATATATAACATCAGATTTATTTAAATTCTTATTCAGTAAAAAGTGGCTATAAAAACAATTATTTTAAGTAGTTGTACTAAATGCAAAGATTTTCTAAAACCCATTAAATCTTTACTTTCTTTTTTATGAGGATGGGTCATTATTTTATGGAAGCATACAATATTTTTTTTAAATACTTTCAAGAAGATTTTCAAACATCGAAAGGTATATATTTCAAAATTTAATAACATCATATTCATTTTTTTCAAAATCCGTTCATGAACAATCTATTAAGTTTTTTTCCAAGAAAGCCATCTTCAATGATCTGGTTTTCCAATTTCTTCTTTTCAGGTTTTTTAAGATGCGCATGTATCCTCATCCCCTTCAAAAAATGAAAAAATCAGTGTTCGTCATTGTAAATGCGGGAATATAGTAAAAGAGAAATAGAAAAAAAATTTACATGTTCGTCATGGAAGATGACTTTAATGGGATCACCTCCCTTTGCCCATGCGGGAACGTGATAAATGCGAATGGCTTGTAACTTGAGCATCCATGAAATTTTATCAATTTTGTCAATGAAATTCTTCATCATGGTTTGTGGGTTTTGGGACATTTAGATCACTCACGACTGTGGTATGTGTTTTGAATGGTGTGTATGCTATAAACAAATTCGGATATATATATATATATATATATATATATATATATATATATATATATATATATATATATACTTGGGCTTGGAGGCAACTTAAACTATCACATTTAATATCCATGTACTTAAAGATTTTCTGAATGTTGAGATTAAAATATGGATTAGACATAAAGTTAATAAAGTAGATTTATTAAACTGATGTGCTTTAATAAAGTAGATTTATTGGACCGAGGTGCTTTCCATCATTCCAAAGCTGACCTATACGCCTACATTTACACGTTAATTTAGACAATTTAATTGCTACAGGTTCGGCCCATGTATAGCAACCCACTCGGCCCATTAAAGGTAGCCCACTTGGGCCAATAAAAATAGGCGGGAACACTGTTCACAAATTGCACCTAGCATTGTATATACTAGGATATGGAGTATGACTTTAAAAAATACGGAGTAGTTGTGCTTTCTTAAAAGGGTAACTCTACAATGACACTAGTGCTACTGTTCTCATTTGCTTACACCAGTTCGTTTGGGGTACCTACAGTGCTTCGTTTGTAAAAATGATTGTTCATACCCCCTAACTCTTCCCCTAACAGGTAGCGAGGGGGGCGGAAGGGGGGCTGGGCTGGGGGGTTGAGGGGGAGGGGTAGGGGGTATGAACCGTTGTTTTTACTGTAACGCCACAAGATATGACCTAAAATGTATTATAAAACAATAGTAGTTTTTATCCAATAAAGAATATTTGTACGTTTGACTAAAAATAAATGGATTTTCAAAATAATGACTTTTTGTTAAAAAGTTATATTTATGGATATGTCTCAAAGAGACGAATCCAATGGTACATTTTATAAACCAATCTGATTTGTAGATTTCAAGTTATGTCAATTTTAAATAGTAAAATGTGTAACTTTGACCGATAAAATAAACTAAATTCAAAAGTGATTTTTCATCATATTAGAAATCATAATTTTGACACTTGACAATATCATATTTATCATTTGGATTTAATTCATATATTTTTATCTCATTCATATTATTATACTCTGTATTAAATTATGACTGAGACAGACCCGAACACTGAGAAAAATAAAAGTTCTCAGAAAAATATTTTGATTACGTCAAAATTCTAGTTTTGATAGTCTGATTCCAAAAATACAATTTGTTTTCAATTCGGAACAGTTTGGGCAAAAAAGCGCGTACCGTTTTAGTCAGTTTATCAGTTAGGGAGTAAGAAAATAAATTTGATTCCCCAAAATCCTCCAAGTCACGTAGAGAGACTCCCATCCCTTCCAATCCTCAATCAAACCAACCACACTACCATATACCTCCAATTCATTTTCCCTATAATATCACCCTACCACTACCATCATCATCATAATCTTCACCATCATCCACCATCATCAACATTCATCTTCTCCTCTCCATCTCTCCCTCTCTCTGTCGGCAGCAACAAGAAGAAGAAAAGAAAACTCCAACTCCATGATAGTATGTTAAGGAAGAAGAAGAAGGAGCAAGAAAACCATCCAAAGTTTCCAAATTTCGAGTCCAAAAACGCAGCAGCAACTCCAAAGTTTCCAAATTTCCATCCATTATCTCGAAATACTTATTGAACCAAAGTTGTAGCCTCGGACGTTACGAATCCAACCCAACAAACGGCTCGCGATTTCGTTAAGTAACGAAGAAGATATGGCCAAAATACCGGGACTGCGCCAGTGGTGGCGAGCTCCTCGGGTTGGCATGTTTTTCTTCACCAAAATTCATATTTTTTCATCCCAAATACTTATCATAAACTCTCTAACAATTATTAGAAACATCCGGAAGGTATTGCAAAGAAAGTTCGGCGTTGGAATGTTGAAGTTAGTGAGTTAATCGTCGGAATCATGTTCATCGACATACCCGAAATTCCGGACAGCAACTTTCTAGTGACTTCAAGTCCGATTTACGCTATCTTACATATGTTAAAACGAAATACTTTCTATACGAAAGTTGTAGCCTTACATCTTAGGAATCCACAGAATCAAACGGTTTGCAATTCCGTGCAGAAACGATGGAGATATGCCCAAATTACCGCTGGTTGTCCAGTTGTGACGGAAATGACAAAGTTGGCAAATTTCGATGTTGTTTCCACTCCCGCTCATCCAGGTCTGTACCTTTGCGTTAGACTTGTCGAATCATTCATCACATGCGTACATGAACATATATGTTAATCCATATGTTGAAATCATCCCAAAAATAAATATGTGATACATATGAGTATTAGAAATGCTTCAACTACATAGATTGTTAATCATAAGTGTTAAAATAACTCAAAGAAGTATTTTAAATATCCAAAAATATCAAAAATAGGATTTGCACACCTGAACGGTCGACGTAAACGGTCAACCGTCGTATTAAACATTGAAACGAAACAAGATTGTCAGACAAATGGTCAACCGCCGGTGGCCAACGGTCGACCGCCGCCTGCCCAGTCAAGACCGTCGTTTTTCCTCCAGTCAACAACGGTCGACCGCCGGTCAACCGCGGTCGACCATCACGGTGATTCTCCAAACTCGACGCGATGAATTTCGCGGTCGACCGTTCCGAGCCCCGTAGCTTAATTAAATGATATTTTTATCAGATTACATCCAAATAAAATAAAGTATATTTATCCAATCATGTTGTTTACAAATTGTTCATATCATGTGATTTATTTCATCATTCGTATTGAAACATATCACATCATGTGCATGTGCAAAAGATCAGGCTGAAGTGCGTCTCTTGTAGTTGTGATTGTGCGGGACTTAGCAGTCCGACATCACGGACCGGGCTTAGTGTACGTTCATGGTACTTAGATTTTCGAGTACCACCCCTATTTCTGCGTGAGTTCGTCATACCAAATGGGCGAATCTCATAGTTCAAGGCTCGTCCTTGCGACTTAGAATCATACAACATGAAATCATCATCAAGTAAAATCATCATGACTATGTGTGACATCAATTACGCATCATGTTGTCATCATCAAGTACATCAATTACATAGATGTCATGTAATCATCATCAAGAACAAGTATATATGGATTATATGAGTATCATGTAATCATTCTCACAAGCAAATTGATTTATTGTGCCATCATGTAATTATCATTAAATATTTATCATCATGATTCATCAAATTGTCCATATGATATAATGTACCATATTATGAATATTATTATTATACTTTTTGTGGACATATATATGTAAATGTATATGTCTATGAATTATTCTACAATTCTAGCGTGGTACCACTCAGCGGTTTCGCTGAGCGTGTAGTTTGTATTTTTTTCGTTGACTACACGTAGGTAACAAGAAGACAATGATGGAACCTTTCCCGGATGGCATTGAGTCAGAGAAGATGCAAGGATGGCAGACAATGTTTGGTCAATAGATTTTAAAATGTGTCATGATTTGATTATTATTGTACTTGCGCATTACTCTGAAAATATTTTTAAATGGGTCGCGATCCAGAGTCTGTAAATTTAATATTTATAAGTAATTGTCATTTTCAAATGTCAAGCGAAATTTTTATTTAACTCTCGTTTCACCTTAATTTGTGCAATTCCGGGTTATACAGATTGGGGTGTTACATTTACAAACGGAGCACCGTAGGTATCTCAAACGAACTGGTGTAAGCAACTGGTGTATAAGTAACTGATGTCATTTTAGACGCTTCTTTTTTAAAATTAGTCACTTAGATAAAATAATTATCGAGATGGTATTTGTTAATTAAAAAATATTCAATTTGTGTGTTTTCTCTACCTTACGTTCGCCATAACATGCATTGTCAAAACAATGTTAAAATTTAAACTAATTTTCTATAATGGTTCTTTCCATTTGTGTGTTTTCTCAAATTAATCCATTTCAAAATAAAAAGTCATTAAATGTTAAAAATAATTGTAAATATTATAGGATGAAAAATAATAGGTAAAACTTAAAATATAATTTAATAAAGTTGAACATGAATGTTTTAGATTGTTTAAAATTATTAGGAGAATATAATGTAAATTAAATATTTAAGAGACGATTCCATTTGTTCTGAATTAAGACTTCTATTTTGATTTATGATGTTTGACTTATTTTTAAATAAGTATATCAAAGTTGGTCTAGAAATTTTCATAAACATGAGTCTTAATTTGGGACAAAAGGAGTATTAATGTTTTATTTATATCATATTCTTCTAAAAAATTCTAAATAGCTTGAAACATTTATTTTAAAGTTTATGAAATTATATTTATGGTTTTATTTACTATATTCTCATCTTACAAAACTCAAATTCTTTTTTCATATTTAATGAGTTTTTATTTCGAAAATGGAGTTTTTTGAGAATATACACAATTAGAGAGAACCATTTTGAAAAAATAATACTTCCTCCGTCCACAAATAAACTTTACGTTGCGCGTTACGATGTTTGATTGAAGTTATTTTCAAATCATTTTATATGAAAAATGGTGTACAATTGAAAAATAAAAATTACATATTAAAAAACTATATCAAAAGATCTACAAAATTAGAGTTGACATGACTGTATTATTTTTTATCAAATGGATGACGAAAATAGGTCAACAAAGTGAATAAAGTTTGACCCTCTGAATAGTGAACGTAAAGTTTATTTGTGGACAGAGAGAGTATAAATTTTAACGTTGTTTTGACACACTTTGGACAGGTGTTAGTCAGAGGACTAAACTGAACATTTTTCTCAAATAACTGATATCATTTTGGTAATTAGTTAATCTTTGAGACTTATTTCGTAAAAATACATAGTTAATGAGTGCTGTTTTGGAAATTTATTTTTAAAAACCTGGCAATATTCCAATTCTAAGTGATTTAATGTTTTTACTTTCATAATTAATTATTGACCACAACACTCCCAAAATTCAAATGAATCTTCTAAGAAATGAGTTATTTTACGTTATTACTCCCAAATTTAAGAATTGATGTCATTGTTAGAAAAAATTATTAATTCTTACGTTGTTAGTTTATGTTGCTAATTATGCTAATTGGGTGATATTTTAAATGATGACTATACAATCATTAAGTATGAGTTGGCATCAAATAAAACATTTTAAAAAATAGAAAATGCTTTATAACTAAACCACCCGTTCTAAAATTGTAAAACTAAAATGTGATAAAAGTGAAAAAATATAATGCATTTATCTTTTAATCAAATAGATGTGGATATTGTTTTAGACAAAAAAAATAAAGAGTTTTAAGTTAATATTTTATATTCAAAATTATATATGATGCCAAAAAGAGAAATCTAGAAATAGGAATAGGTACATACATACATACATACATACATACATACATACATACATACATACATACATACATATATATATATAGAGAGAGAGAGAGAGAATCTACACTACAGATTTAAAGTTATAACAATTTCAAAATATAAAAAAATAAAAATACAACTGAACGTGTTGGACAATTTTTTGAAAAGAAATAAACAAAAAAATATATGATAACTTCTTTTGAAATGTATTTTTTGTGATTGATTCTAATCATAATTTTTTTATAATAATTGTCGAGTTGACAATATGAAGTAATAATGTAAAGAATAAATAATTTTTTGAAATGTTAATGCCAGTGTGTGTTGCACAATTGACAAGACAAAGAGTGTCAATGAGGTAAGCTAAGACTCAAGTTTGATTCCTGAAAACTGCGTTGCAGGGTCCACTCTTTGCCACGAATCTGCAATCAAAATCTAATTCACCTCCTAACCGTCTGGCCGGGTCTGTGAGACCATTGGGGATTAGGCTCATCCTTTTTTTGAAATATTAATGTATTCAATTCCCTCTGTCCTAAACTGTTCTTCCCAGTTATTTTTAACACGGTCAAACTTTAATCACTTTTTTACCTATATTTATTAGGTATTTGATAAAATAATATAGTCTTGTCATTATTTGTTTTTTAGAATTTTTGATGTACTTCTTTCGGTTCTAAAAACATGGGAGTTATTGATTTTTAAGAGATTTAATGGAAATGTATTTTGGTATTGAGTTTCCAAGAAAGTCGTTTGATGTGATGAGTAAAAGTAAGATTTGATGGGTATATTATTAATAAAAATGTATGATGTGATAGGTAGGTTATGAAAAAGTAAGAGGTAAAAATGACTTTTTAATAGAAATAAGAAGTGTTTTTCGAGACGAATGAAAATAGAAAGGGGAATGGTTTAGAGGGACGGAGGGAGTCGTTTTTAAATATATAAATTTTATTTTTAAATTTTACACGTACAATCAAATAAATTGAATTGAAAATGAAGTTGGTCAAACCTCATAAACACAAACAGGAAGAATATTATAGGATGAAGGGAGTAACTTTTTTTTATTAAAAAAGAAGAATTAGGCCGCGTTTTGTTCATATGATCTGATCTGATTTCATTTATAAATAAAACTTTTTTTTATTTGATCTGATATGATAAGATTTGATCTGATCTGATTATAAAGAGTAATAAGAATAAAAAAATTAGAAAAAAAAGAGGTGAACAGCTGCTCTACTAGTTTGCGTTCGTCCCTGCTCGACGGGTGGGTCTCGCAGTCAAGCTCCCTTCTGCCTTTGCACTCGAGGGCCAATCTCTGTCCGGCCCGAGGAAACCTTTGCACGCCTCCGTTACCTTTTGGGAGGCCTACGCCCCATAGAAACTGTCTACCTGAAACTGTCCCTTGGCCCGTAGGTCCTGTGTAACACCCGCCTTCCGTGGACCCGGTTCACCCGCGACCCAACGGACCGGTAGGGTTACATGGACAGTCCGAGAACCATCCGTTACGAAAACATCAATGATTATTTAATAAGAAAGTGGTTGGGTTCTATTTAAAGGAATAAATGCCAGGGAGCTACTCCCAAAACGTGTGTTAATGAAAGTGCAGAGTAATTGCGGAAGTAATTAAATAAGTTCAGTCCAAATTAAATAACGACAAGGGTGGGTTCATGCCCAATTGATTAATGAAGTTATTGAAAGTAATTAAGAGTTCGTCCGTGCATCGCCCATCTCCCCATCGTCACCGCTCTCCAGGGTTGGCACCTGCTCCGTCATGTCTACCTGCGTGTAGTAAAAACAACTACACGCTCAGCAAAAGCTGAGGAGTGAATCTAACAAAAGAACATGAAGTGATAACCCATGTGGCAATACCCATATCAATACCTGTACTTAACGTACGGGACACCACACATTACTAACTGTTTAGTTTTCACCTGTTAAGCTGTTTCGAATAACAAGGAACATAATGATGATGATATGACGTGGTGCATGACTTAAACTATCAGGGACACCCCTGGCTTAGTCTCACTCGACAGGATCACCCCTGCACTCCGGTCATCGTTCCCGAACGGTAACGAGTCGGGCACGACGAAAACATCGCGAGTGGACTAGCGGAAACCGGGTAGTAGCCGTAACCTGACTACTATGTACGTACACAAGCCCAACATGATGAAAACCCGCTGGTCCCCAAAGGTTCCTGGACGGGCCCACTGTAGTAGGCGCTTGAAGTCCTCCCTACAGCGGTATGCATATGATGGAAACCTAGAACATCCGTCTAGAAATGATCATGATGGAATGATTGCATTGATTAAAGAAAAATAGTTAAATTCAGTTCTTACATATGTGCTTGATTATGATTTGTTCAACATGATGGCCCTGGGTTCAGAACTGGCTGATAGTCGATTATCTGCTGTTGATAATCGATTATCATGCTGTGCAGCTTCTGTCCCCAAAGTCCTGCAGACTGTGATAGTCGATTGTCACCCCATGACAATCGATTGTCAAGTTGGTTTATCAGGAAAGTCCCAAGTTCAGAGAGACCTGATAATCGACTATTGCTCTGAGATAATCGATTGTCAAGTGAACCAGCTCTGACTCAAGAATCCGCAGGGTCTGTTAATCGATTACCACTTATGTGATAATCGATTGTCACACCATGCTGGATCAACTGAGGAGTTCAACGTGACCTGATAGTCGATTACTCCGTTCTGTAAATCGATTATCAAGGCACGCTGAGTTCCATTTTGACTATTTGGTTATCATCAGTACGTTGGGAATTTTAGAAACGAACGTTTATATTTCCATGCTGGATAATCGAATAACTTACAAGGTTTCAAAACATTTATAATAACGAGTACATAACTTGATAACATGGCCACACATATGTTTGATGGTTAACCTACGAACATGCATAGATTCTACGTAGGTTGCGCACGATATTCCTATGAATATAACGACATAGATTATAACTAAATGTTCTAGAATTAGAGGGACAACTACTCACCTCTAAAAGAAGGGATTGAAGAGACGATAGGATGAGATGAACGAATGGATGAGGATGAATGAACAAACGAGCGAACAAACTTCTTGCGTGAACCTTCTTCTTCTACCTCCCCGTCTACCCACCGGAATCCTCCTTGGGCTCGCTTGTTGCCTTGGCCGAATTGGGGAAGAAGATGGAGGGTGATGATGGAGACTTGATGATGAGTTAGTAATGGGGGGTTACAAAAAATGGTGATGATGAGAATGTGGAGTGTATCTTATAATGATGGTGAGTTATGAGAGTTAATGGGGAATTGAATTTTGGGAAATGGAAAGGCATGGGCTGCACGTATGGATGGTGGAGGTTACAAATATTTATTTTACTCCGTCATGTGAAAATCTGACCTGAACAGTACGCGCTCTTTTCCCCGAACGGGTCCGAATTGAGTTCCGTTTGCGTTTCTGGAATCAGACAGTCAAGATGAATTTAATGATATGATCAAATAATTTTTTTCCCAAGAACTTTTCATTTTCCCAGCCCCGGTCCGGAACAGTAATTAATTAATTAAATTAATCAATTCTATTAGACCGGGTTGCAGGGCGTTACATCCTGGCACAAGGTTAGAATTCTAGCCCTTCCAGGCACTCAGAGGAGTAGAGCACACGGTGTCGTGGGGGGAAATCTCCTCAAATAGGATTCGTCTACACGGTTTTCAAAGCACCCGCAGATTGAACAATTGAATATCCGATTCAGGTGATTGGGAGGCCAACGAAATTAAATAATAGGTTACGTCGTTCATAAATTATCCTCAAACTATTTTTTTAGTAGGTAGCCTCTAAACTCATTTCGTTTCAAATGAGTTGACAGAGAACAGAGATTCGTTGAACATAGTTCAACTCATTTCGTTTCAAATGAGTTGTTCGTTGAACTATGTTCAACAAGAATTTTGGGATTTAAAAGATTCAAAAAAAAAACTGACAATTAAGGACCAGAAACAACAAGAGACAAAAGAACGAATTGAGATAGCAGAAGCCTGGGATAATTTATGAACGACGTAACCTATTATTTAATTTCGTTGGCCTCCCAATCACCTGCTGGGAGTTTTGGCTTGAACACTAATAATTTAGTAACAACTCTTATAAATATAGGTGTCTACTTTGTTTATTGATCATTTTTGGAAAGGGGAGGCAAAGCCCATAGCACTGGCGACGTCTCCGGCATAAATGCAAGGAGGATGTATAGCTGATATAGGATCTTGTGGAACAGGATTTGATTCTGCGAAAAATTTATTTGATTTTTTTCACTGGTATTGTAGGCGATTCGCGAAAAAATATAGTAATCAGATCGAGATAATCCAATTTAGAACGTTTTTAAAAAAGGGGGATTTGTTTTATCCAAGTTTTTGCATCCTAAATGTTTTCCATGGAAATTTATTTTGGGTATGATATTTTGATCCAAATAAATAATTTTAATAAAAAGTAAGTTTTCCACTTTAAACTTGCCTAAACCCCACCGAGAACAAATAATGACAGCGTCATTATTAGATCTTACTCCCACTCCCTCCCCAGACTCCCACACCACAGCGCCATAAAGATACGGAGAAGTATCCCATACTCGCCATTTTTGCACCCTTCTCTTTCTCTCTCGCTCATCCTCAAACACTCTGCAAATCACTCCAGGGTTTCAGTGACAGGTACTTTCGGAATCCATTACCTTCAATCATATTTTAACTCGTGTTCAATTTGTTTCGCTGATTCGCCAAGTCCGATTTATCATCAGCTCTTGTAATTTACCGCTCTATCATTTCAACTCCTAAATGTTCATTTTTTATGCTTCTAGATTCGTTCCTTGGTTGGGCCCTTTTCATGATATTCTGGTAATTTTAATACCGGACTGCATTTTCTGTCCTTTTCTGTGATTTTTTATGGTCCAGATCGATTGCATCAATTGATATATTCTTATTTGGATAAGCTGTTTTCTTTCCCTTTTCTGTTTAATTTTTTTTCATTTAATTTAACTGCTCTCAATGGATCATACATTTGTATACGTTTATATCAATTTGTTGCGCTTTATGCCAAAATGGATTCATGATGAAAAGTGTTGCATAAAAGGAATTCAAATTTGTTAGAGCTGTTTCGGGAAATGNGATATTAATTGCTGCAAGGCGTGTTTCATAGACATCTATGCCCAATGTTCTAAAGCCTTTATACATTCTTACCAGAGCTGTGTTCTCTGTATCTAGTCCTTTAGCCAGAGGTAGTGTAAGAAAATAAAGCATTATCATAGGATTGTGTAAGAACAATAGCAGGGTATTAGGGTATAGCTTTACAATATACTCCGTATATATATATGCATATATATATATATATATATATATATATATAAAGAGTGAGAGAGAGGGGGGGGGGGTTAAAGTAACACCAACCAAAATATTACACCAGTGGCGACATCAATTCAATTAGGGCACCTACCGTGCTTCGTTCGTAAAATTGACGGTTCCTACCCCCTAAACCCCCACCCCAGCCCCAAAGGTAGTATTTTTTTATAGGATGAATGATATGTGTGTTTGCGTTTTTGTAGTTAATACCCCCTCCATCCCAAAATGGATTGCATGGAGGGAAGTACTAGGCAAAATCCCAAGTTTTTAAAATTCATTTTATTTAAAAATCGGTATTAAAATAAAAAATAAAACTTACATATTTAAAAACTACGTCAAGACGTTCTACAAAAAAAGGTGACAAGAATATTTTATTTTATCAAATAATCTATGAAAACACAAGTAATCAAAAGTTATTGTGATGCTAGAATGGTAAACAGTAGAATTCATAGGTTTGGATGGTTTACATTTTTTACTTAAATACATATTTGGCAGCAATGATACATATATAGAATCTTATTTAGTGCTAATTCTGGCATTCAACAAATAAGGAAGGAGTTGGCCAATTAATTATGGATTTGGGATTGCCAGATAATTAAGGGCAAGATGGTTAACTGATTTATACTCTTTGAGTGATGGTTTTCTGAGTGTTTTGAAATAATATACTTTGTATAAATTAGGTCTTCCATTAAAAGGAAGGCCAAGAGTTTAGAAAAAAATAATTGGCCTTCGTATACTTGCTGGAGGGTTCCTTCGGGACTCATGAAGGTTATCTTTTAAGCTCATTAATGTTTTTCTATTCAATATGATAAATTTACTTGATTTTATTGAACCTCTTTAAATTCTATCTAACATCACTCATATGAAACCAGACCATTTTTAAAAAAACATGGTTTAGAAACACATCTTTTCCATATCACTTACTAAAACACTTCTAAGATATACTCCATAGTATTTATAACCACATAGTGAGATTGGACTTTTTAAACAACAGGTTATTATCTTTTCCTTCACCAGTGGATCAAGAAACCTAAAAGATAAGGTATCATAAATTGGTGTATATATATGTGTGTGTGTGTGTATTGCCTAAAAGGTACGGCATCTTAAATTGATATATATGCTATATAATAATGTGCATCACTATATACTAATATGATATTATGTCAGTATGTATATTAGTTTATTAATGATTTAATAGTTCTGATAATTTTGTGTATGAAACCGGTGCATTATAACCAATCCTGCACTAGCCGATCTAAAATTGTATTAAGTGGTTAGTAATTAAATGTCCATCTATATCTTAGAGGTACTCTGATAGTTGGTTCTAAGTTGTTTGTGGCTTTAAATATTCAATAAATTTCCATAGTTATTGAGAAAAGTGTTCATCAACTTATGTGTAATGACATAAAATACAAAAAATACTTCATCTGTCCCAAAAAGGGTCTTAATTTGACCCGGCATGGAGTTTAAGGAAGGTGAAATTGTATGGTTGAAAGTGATGTTGATGAAGGAGAAATAACATGAGTCACAAATAGTTTTCCAAAATGGAAAGATGAATCTTTTTTTGGGATGTCCCAAAATGGAAGGACTCTTCTTTTGAGACGGTGGCAGTATGTTATTGCACGCCTCAATAATAAGTTTCTTAAAAGAAAGAAAATATACCTAGTGTCATGTATGCATTCAAAGCTTCATATGTGCTAGAACCCGTGTTTTTAGTTTTATTTATTATTTATTGTTTAGTTTTCTTGATAAATCAGAACGTTATGTTTCTATTGTAATTAATTACTACACACCCAAATGAAATGTTGGATTCGAGTTACCAATAAAATATACTCTATATAATGTTAGCAATACCCTTGAATTACACAGCATCCTAGCCCCCATCCCTTAGCTGCTCCAGGGCCCAGCGCATTCCCTCAGCTACCAGTCTCGCCGGCCCATTCTCCGTTGGCACAGCCTTTTCAACAACCACCCAAGAGTGGTTATGAAGGAGTAAAGAAGAAATAGAGAACGAGAAAGGGAATAAAAAGATGAGAAATATTGTTAACGGCAACAAAACACTTTCCATGAGCGATGGAAGGGAATAAAAAAGATGAACGATGTGTTACCGGCAATGAAATACGGACCAACTTCTAATTAGAAAAATATCTTTCCCCCAAGTGACGTGTTACCTGTGACGAGATCCACGTGTGATAAGATGAGAGAGTGCCACCTTATCTAATTCCTTTTTAGAGGCTGTAAGTCTAGGAACAATGCCACCATCTCTGTCTGTGCTCCCGGTTGTTGTCTGACATGTCAGCGATGATGAGGTCCAAAGATGAGAGAGCATGTGCCGCCTCATCTAATTGATCCAGTTTCCTGCAGTTGAATTCTGAAGATGGGGGAGAGAGAAATGAAATTGGGGAGAAAGTTGTGAATGAAATCCAAGGAGAAAGAGAGAAATATTATCGGACAAAGCTGCGAATGAAATCCGAAGAGAGAGTGAGAAGTGAAACTTGGGAGAAAGCTGTGAGTGAAATCCAAAGAGAAAAAGATAGATGAAATTGGGAAAAGTGAGAGAGCTGAGAAAGCGTGCGGATTGCCTAGAAATGCAGCTATTTCTGCAGGAAAATTAGAATTCATTATATTTTGTTACTTGAAAAAGAAAATGGACGAATATTGTGGGATGGCCCAAAATGGAGTATTGGACATTTGGACAAATACTGCAGGATGGAGGGAGTACAACAAGTCAATAACCACAACTACATTGGTTTTGGATCATGATTTACATAATCTTACCACTTGTAAAAAACAGAGGATGCTTTTGTTAGACCTTTGATGCATTCACTGCCCAAAACTTCATAGAAAGTAAGAAGCGAGGGAAGTGTTATACTGTTATGTGCCATTTTGTTTTAATCCATTTACCCATAGCTAAGACATACCCATGGTAGTAAAAAATGACTCTTGAGCTCCATTGGCAATAGACCATTACACTACGAAATAATCTCAACTTAAAAAAGAGCCGAGGGTCTCTTGGAAACAGCCTCCCTACTTCCGAGTAGGGGCAAGGTCTGCGTACACACACCCTCCCCAGACCCTACTGTTGTGGGATTCACCTGGGTTGTTGTTGTTGTTAAAAATGACTAGTTGTTGAACGATGTCCTCACTCCTCACAGACTTTGTTATCGATGTACTTGTATAAACATTAAGTGTATTAAAAAATGAAATCACGCGAGGTTATATATAAGTTACACACTTGGTTCTCATAATGACGTGTCTTAGAGTCTTAGTTCAAAAGCTAAACTTGATAAATAATGTCCTCAGAACTCAAAAGTGCATGAGGTGCTAGCCTATGTGCAAAACAATCCTACTGCTTTGTAGCATCCCTGTCTCAGAGAGCAGTCTGAGGCACACCAGGCACACACTTTTTAGAGAAACGCAAGGTAGGTGCTTGGATCTGGTATTTTACTCTTAGCGTCTTTTCCTTTCAATTGAGATCCAAAACATTATTTAAGTCTCATACTTATACTAGACATTATCTTATTCTGTTTATTAACCCACAATCCCACATTATAAGGAAAAAGTGAAAAGCCTTCAAGTAACATTAGATTTTCTTCTTCACTTTTGGTGGCTTGACTCAATACTCCATGCAGAAAGCAGAACTGACAACTTGAAGGCAACTTTCTTTCTTTCTTTTTTCCGCCTAGTTTCTTTTTTGTGTTATCATCTTTATTTCCTTGCTCTCCTCTTTATTTCCTTTTGTTTGTTAACCCCTCAAATTCTTATCCCTGTTATTATAGTACCTATGAGTATATGACTTAACATGCATTATTTAGTCACAGTAATTTATCCAAGGCACGTTCTATATGACAGTAGCCAGTGGATATTACTTTGAATTTGTGGTGGCTTGTGCTTATTTTGACAATAATCTCAATTTCTAACATATTTTGTACTTCCTTATTATTATTATTATTATTATTTGTGGTAACTAGTAATGGATTATGAAAGTTTCAACCTTGTGCACCTTGCATTAGTTATGCGAGCATGTTTTTTGGGTCCTGAGAGTTGTGATGCATGACCTTTGCATCTTGAGGGTGCAGGGTGCCTTAGGACTTTATATCCAATGCTAGGTTGTGAGGAGGAATAACATATATTATCATTTTGACATTCTGTAGTAAGGATAAATTAATTTGATGGTGACTAGTGTATTGAGAATTTGATTTAGGTAGCCGGAACATCTCGCTTTAAAATCTTATGATTCATGGTTTTTTTCTTGTTTTGTAGGGAAAGTGCATGATTAGCCAATTGACATTAACTCTCTCAAATCTACAATCAAGCTGAATTCGAGCATTTTATCAACATTTGAAAGTTTCTACTGCATTAAAAGTAAATTTCCTATGTCTATGCATTGGCAAAAAAAATTTATTAAAAAAAAGTTGAATTTTTAGTGGTTTACTTCACAGTTCACACTTGAATATTGCTTCTGATATATATGGTGTTGAATTTATCTAGATGGCAACACAGTCAGTGGAATGTCCGGCTTCTACTGTTCCAACTGCCCAGATAGTTGGTAATGCCTTTGTAGACCAGTACTATCACATCCTACACCATTCTCCGGAGCAAGTTTACAAATTTTATCAAGACTCAAGTGTCCTGAGTAGGCAAGAAGCAAATGGCATGATATCATCTGTGACAACAATGCAGGTACATCATGCTCTTGATCTTTGGAAGCCAGAAGCACATTTATTTGTTTGCTCTCTTCCTCCTTCATAAGCTAGATCTTTGAAAGTTTTTATGCTTTTTAGGTTGGGGTAAAATATTTTCCTTGAAGAATATTTCCAAGGGAAAATGATTTTCAATGAAAAATATTTTCCAATCATATTTTCCGTTGTTTGGTAAGAAGGAAAATATTTTCTCAAAAGAATCATTTCTTGAATTACTCTATCTATTTTTTAAAACAGTTCCTCTTTCACTTTTTTCATTTCCCCAAAACACTTCTATTTTTGTAAATTTAAAATTAAAACTTTAAGTTTAAAAATTAAAAATTAAAACCAAAAAAATTAAAATTTAGAAACTAAAAAAGTTAATTTTAAAATTCAATTTTTATTTTTTAATTTTTAATTTTTAATTTTTAATTTTTAATTTTATTTTTAAATTTTTTAAATTTCAAAATTTAAAACTGAAAAGTCAAAAAAGGGGTATGGGGTGGACGGAGGTTGGGGAGAGTGTTGGGCTTTGAGCGGAAAGAGAATGAAAATTTTCCTCCGGTCTTTAACGTAAATTGTTTTCTCCCCATCGAAGGAAAATATTTTCCGCGGAAAATATGTTCCTTCCACTAATGTCACCAAAAACAGGAAAATGGAATCAAAATTTTTCTGAAAATATCCCCGCCCAAACCATACATACTATTAATGTGAAATAATTTGAATGTATTAGTCAAGCTTTTCCACCATATTATTTTGTATGCTAAAAATTTGTCTCCATTTTCTTTTATATTGCATGACTGCACTTCATGTTAATCACACAAGGTTGTCTTAGTATGTACGGCTGTCAATATCTCCGTTTGAATAGATTATTGAGAGACTTTGTTGGTCTAACAACAACAACAACAACAACCCAGTTGAATCCCACAACAGTAGGGTCTGGGGGGGTGTGTGTACGCAGACCTTGCCCCTACTTGGAAGTAGGGAGGCTGTTTCCAAGAGACCCCCGGCTCCACCTGCACAAAAATATGGAAGAGAACACAGTATAGCACAGATAAGTCACCAAGTCCAAGCAACAAGTACAAACAATAGCAAAAGATTCCCAACAAAAACAACACACTACAAAACAACCTCTACAATACCGAGCTCCTATCCAGCTACTCTAATTCTAGTTCTCCAAAGGTTCCTATCTAGGGCCATATCCTCAGTCAGGTCGAGAAGTCCTAAATCCTGTCTTATCACCTCCTCCCAATTCTTCTTGGGTCTACCCCTTCCCCTACTTCCCCCAATAATTGTAATCCTCTCGCATCTCCGTACAGGGGCGTCAGCATCCCGCCGTCTCACATGGCCAAGCCACCTCAACCTCGCTTCCTGCAACTTGTCTTCCACCGGTGCCGTACCTACTTGACGTCGGATAACCTCATTCGCAATCCTATCCAACCTTGTCTTCCCGCACATCCATCGTAACATCCGCATCTCCGCCGCATGTAGACGTCGCACATGAGACTTCTTAACCGCCCAACACTCTGCCCCATATAACATAGCAGGTCTGACTACGGATTGATAGAAATTTTGTTGGTCTAACATTGTGTTGAAATTCAACTTAATAGGCTATCAATGAAAAGATTCTGTCCTTGGATTCAATAAACTACAAGGCAGAGATAAAAACTGCGGATGCTCAAAATTCTCACCAGCGAGGGGTGATTCTTCTAGTAACAGGATGCTTAACTGGAAGGGACAATGTCACCAAGAACTTTACACAAACATTCTTTCTAGCTCCTCAGGAGAAAGGGTATTTTGTTCTGAATGACATTTTTCGTTATATTGAGGAGAATGAACCCCTGGAGAGTAGCTCTAAATCAGTAAATGGTGCAGATGGTTCAACTCCAGTGGTGTTGTCATCTGATCCAGGTTTTGTTGGCAATCTTCAAGTAATAAATACAAGAATGAATTTACGAATACACTTGTTAATATCCTTTACTATTTGCTTTTGGTCTTTGCTTCCAGAGCACATTCCTGTTCCTGATCATTCCACATTTGACCCTGCAACTATTGCTGCATCTGAGGAACAGAATATTGCAGAAGTGTGTGACCCTTCTGATAACGAAGAAGATTCCGTTATTGAAGAGGAAGTTGTTGATGAGGCTATCACTCATCAAAACCAAAATGAAACTGCAGCTGTTGACCTTTCTGATGTACCTGCAACACTAGATGAGAAAAAATCATATGCATCTATAGTAAGCACTTCTGCTCCCTACCCCCCCACCGTGTGCCTACACTGTTGTTGCGATGTTTGATTCTAAATATTCTTGTTAAACTTGCTGAGATGTGAGTTTTAACATGCTCATCTTTTTTTTCATCTATCAAATCTCATATAGGTCAAGGTGAATAAGGCATCTACTGGTGCTACCGTTGTATATGCACCAACACGTCGCACCCAAGTTGTAACTGCAAAATCTGAACAACCACTACTTGGATCTGAAAAGACTTCAGGTCCACCAGAGACATTGGATTCTTCAAACTACAATGCTCCTGAACATTATGATGCCCACGAGGAAGGTATTGTCTAATGTTGACCTCTAGAACAAGTACCACCTGGAATACACTAAATATAGGGAGCATTGTTCTAAAGAACGATCTAGGCGCTAGGTGGTATGCAGGTGTCTTGATTTTAGCTAAATTGGCTAGAAAAATCAGTCGCTCTGCATAGGCGGATCTAGTCAGCTGCTACTACTTTTAAAAAAATCATTTTCGCTGAAGACATGTTTTATTTCAACACATTTAATACATTACACTCCAATTAGTCAATAGTAGACATATATTGCATGGAATGTGAGACTTTTGATTTTGTATTTGTTTTGTGGAGAATTAATTCCTTGATACTCCCTCAGTCAGTAGAACCTCTACATTTGAGTCGGTCCAACTTTTTCGATGACCACATGGTCGTCATAGTTTTCCCAATTCTGGAGAGGGTTGGGAAAATTTTGACGACCTTTTTTCTTTTTGTTTTGTTTTACGGTTTTACCTCTAGTTTTTACGCAATGTACCTTTTTTTGGATACTTTTGAGCTTATCTAGTGGCTATACCATTATGTGCATTTTTCCTACTTTCTTTTTCGGGTGCCAAAATAAACCCATTTCTTTTTGTGGCATGCACATTTTACTTCTTTTAAATAAAAAAATACATTTTTACCTTGAAAACCCTACATATTTACTTACTACCATTCACTTCATGACTTCACTTTTAGTGAACCCAGAAAAGTAGGCCAGGGCATTTATATATTTTTTTAGCAATCATAATCTACGTGTCATATGCACATGGGAATTCGTAACTCTTTTGATTCACAATATTTTGATTTTTGATCTACTTATTGAATTTTAATCATTATATAGCAAACCAGTATTTTTATGTTTTAACATGAACTTTATATTAAAATCATGGTGGCTACTTACATACGTAGTAATTTTTATTTTAAAAACTCAGTAATCAAGTGAGATTTTTGATACTGTATTACTTTTTGTTGAGTATTAATTGGTTGATTTTATCTCTGTCCCAAAATAAGAGACAATTCGGTTTATGATGGTTGACTAAAATTATTTTAAAGTTGGTGTTGAAATAATATTAGTATATTTAAACACTACGTCAAAAGTCATACAAAACAAGAGGTGGCATGATTATATTATTCGTTCAAATTATTGATGAAAATATGTGAAGAAAAAAGATATAGTTTGGCCATGTGAATAATAACTGTGTCTTTTATTTTGGGACGTAGGTAGTAATTTGTAACTATCACAATATTTAATTTTGTGATCTCATAACACAATACGTTAGTAAGTTCATGAAGATTTGCTATTCGATCCAGTTGTAAGTTTTAATAAACTTGATTTACCTTAAAATTCTAGGTTACTCCATTTATGTACGGAATTTGCCATCCATTGCAACTCCTGCACAGCTTGAGGAGGCTTTTAGGACTTTTGGACTAATTAAGAACAATGGTATTCAAGTTAGAAGTAATAAGGTTTGCTTTTGTATGCCCTCTGCATTTTCACTATCATCCATTCACATTCATATTACAATTTGATAGAGTTTACAAGCTTTCCTTTCTAATCTGCAGGAAGGGTTTTGCTTTGGATTTGTGGAATTTGAGTCAAATAGTTCAATGCAGAATGCAATAAAGGTGAGGAATTTTACTTTTAATGCATCATGGTGTTGTAAGATTACGTCTTTTTTGCTTTATCGGGTGTCACCACATTTCTGGATTCATGTAAGTAATGAGTGAGCGTTACTGTGCAATGTGTCTGTTTGAGAGCTGTAAATCGTTCAGTCTAATTCTGAAAAGAAGAAAATCGGCAACGCTTCTGCTGCTTAACATTCTCTTGCTTTGCAATTCGCTTTTTCCACTTTCTATATGAGGCCTAGATTTCGTAAAATGTCCACTTTTACTTATTTTGTCAGTTGGTAATTATGTTACATAGACCTTTTGTTGTGAATTGGTTCACACAATCTCAATGTGTTAGCCCTATATTAGAAAAACAACACCATCTTTAAGCCAAGTCGTGTGTTTTATACATATATACTTTTCCATTCTACCAACTACCTAATGTAAGAATGGATGAATAAAATTAATATCACTCTGCCCCTTGCTTTCAAAATCCCCCAACCAAACAAGATCTTAGGGTGGATGATAACAGAGTCAGTTGTAGAACCCATTTTCAGAAGCCACTTCCATTTAAGGCACACAGTCAAATACAGAGTACTTTTGACTGTTTAAAGAGCACTCTTAGGTTTGTCAAGAGGACAAAACTATGGCAACAGCTGGCTGAGTTGCTATGGCATTTTCAAAATTGCTATCTTTCCGAGTGTGGGATTATGATTCCCACATTATGTCTCATACTTCTGTGATTCCATATGATGAATTATTACCTCAGGCCTCGCCGATAACAATTGGGGGTAGGCAAGCTGTTGTAGAGGAAAAGAGAACTACCAGCCGAGGCAAGTCCTGCTGCAATTCATTTCATTTGAAACATACTGTTGTAAATTTCAATCTCTTGACAGTAAAAATTGATACATTTTTTCCAGCGGTTGGTAGTTCTAGAGGTAGGTACCCTTCAGGTAGAGGTGGGTTCCGAAGTGAAAACTTCAGAGGGCGTGGCAGTAACTATGGTGGGAGAAGCTATGGAAGGAACAATTCGAGGAACCAATCTGAGTTTCCCTTCCGACCAAAGGGCCCACCCCGAAATGTGGAAACGTACAGGCGCGTCGATCATAGTGAGAACAGCCGTCGAGGTGGGACCAACAAAGATGTTTCTGCATAAATTTCCGTAGCAGAGGCCCTCGATTTTTGTCGGTCGCACACGTTTTTTTCTTTTCTTTTTTGGGGAAAAAAATATTTGTTCGTTTATTCTAAAGCTTAGTTTGGGACTAATGCAGTGTTTATTTGTGAGATGTTATTTTTCTGGGTGTAATCTCACAAATCCCCCTTTTATATGTGAATCTGTCTATTCCACTATTTTGAGTCATAGAGGAAGATGAAAATACTTGTTCTGGCTTTTTCTATTTTAGCCATGAGCCATTGTTTTATTATCTTCATTTTCTGTTGTTTCTTTGGCCACAAGGGAGTATCTATTACTCCATTTTTGGTTATTTTTATTATTTTAAAACTTTGATCAGAATATGCTGAAAAACATCGTTATGCTATGATATAAATTTCATATCATAATGACAATTAAGTTGTACTCCTTCTGTTCCATTTTAAATTGCATGTTTTTCTTTTTTGTCCGTCCCAATATAAATTGTTTGTTTCTTATTATAGTAAATTTTTAAGGATAAGTACCTAAACTATCTTTAAAATAAGTTACTCATCTTCATCTTGTCTTTTCATTCATCGCCACCCCCTAAAAAAAGTAAGTGCATTTCTGGAAAATCAACAATATATTTTTACTTAAATATGTCTCAAATTCAAAACATGCAATATAAAATGGGACGGAGAAGTAGTTTTGAAACATGATATTTGATATGGAGTGACACAGTGAGAATAAATCTCACTTGACATAAAATATACACAAAATTGACAAAAAAAATGGCTTATCCGATTATAGTTGATTATATTTTTTTTATATTAAAATCCAACTTTGTCTTCAATTATATCATAATGTAAATATGTGAGTTCACTGTAAAAGGTTGGATTCAATAATTTAGCATATCAGATTGAAGACAAGTTGGGTTTTGATTTTAGAAAATGGCATGAAAAAGGGAAAAATTTTGATTTATTGTATTGGGCTGACATGAGAATTTGCTATTGTAAAAATGGTGCTTACTTGTTCCTCCTATATTTTGGAGCATCATATAGAGAAGAAGCTGCACTAAATGTAACCACAAAATTATCAAGCTTAAACTTTAGAGCATCACAGAAAGACAATAAGTTATGCACTAGATATAACCAGAAAATTATATAGGTTTTTTATGTGTAAGAAAATGTAAAGGGTTCATTTGGTACACATAATTGACGAAATTGGAATTGAATTGGAATTGAAATTTTATGAAGTTGAATTCGATGGAATTGAATTCTCCAATTCCAATTCATTCGTGTCCTACCAAATACCAGAATTAGATTTGAAGTCTCCAATTCCAATTTCATAACATGAATTCTGTGTACCAAACGGAGCCAAAGAGTAATTGGTATTTGTATTATACATTGCTTAGAGTCACAAAAGTGTGTTTGAAAGTGTAAGATATTTTGTATATACTCTCTGTTGTGATGCAAATGTTAGTCCCATAGTAGAAGAAATGAAGAACCAAAATAAACAAGTTTAACTCAACACAACCCATTAGTATGAAGGCTCTTGTATGTGCTTATTCATTTTTCTTCATTCTTGATATTTCCGGAGTTTTAAACACTTTAAAATCCCAACAAAAACCTTAAGACTCTGAGAGAGGATCTTAAGACTCTCTTTGCTTCTTTAAAAAAACTTTGGCCTAAATAGACACAAATGTCTTTGTATTTTCTAAATCTAATTTAACATATTCCCAACTCTCTTCTACATCCTCTTTATTTTGATACTCCCATCGTCCCAATTTAAATTATATATTTACTACGTATTTTCAATGTCTAATCACTTTTTATCCATTTTCGCTAACCATTCAAGAAAAATAAGTCTTATCACATCTTGTTTTGTATAAATTTTTTATATAATTTTAAATATATATTCTCTCCGTCCTAAAACTTTCTTCCCGTTGCGCAAAACGAAGAAAAATCCCAAGTTTTTTCAATCTATTTTATTTAAATATTGGTATAGAAATAAAAAATAAAACATACATATTTAAAAACTACATCAAAAGTTCAACAAAACAAGTTGTGACAAAAATATTTTATTTTATCATATAGGCCATGAAAAAACACAAATAAATATAAATTCCCGTGAAATTGAAATAGTGCTCTAGGAAGAAAATTTTAGGACGGAAGAAGTAAATTTTAAGTTGGGATGAAGGAAGGATATCCCAAACACTAATATCAATTGTCATCATTTTTTTGGTCAAACATCTACAACTCCTCCTAAAAGTCAAGCAGGAAATATATATTTCTACAGACAAAGGATATATAGTTTTAAAACTAGATGAAATATATTTCAACATATCAATTTTCTCCATTACTTTCATCTTGGATTATGGCCATTTCCCTACCTAAAAGGTGTTAAAATAAGTTTCATGTGCTTTTTGATTGTATGACCCCAACCTTGTTAAAATTAACATAAAAACATAGTTGAGAACTTGAGACACATGTAACTACAAGGATACTAATCATACTACACTTTTGAGATCCTATGCAATTATCTCTAGGAATGGCAATAGCACTTATAAATAAGTTGTTTAGTCAACAAAAGTAGTAGTAGTAGGCAAGTAGCATATATTTTACATACTCAGATTTTAAACTTCCAAGAGCAGGGCTGCAAACTCAGCCATTCATCGCACTTAAGATTTACATGGTAAAAAAAAGAATCCCATAAACTTAAGATTCAATACTTCATGACAAGTTCTTGGATGGTAATAAATAACCTATTTCACTAAAGCAAAAATCCCCCAGATTTTGACTACTTCATGCAGTGACATTGACATTCATCTTAGCCATTTCTTCAAACAAGTATTTGGACTCTTCTGCGTAATCAACCGGAGCAGCTCCTCGAACTGTTATTCGCTGCTTTTTCTCGCTGTTGTACTCTTGAACTGCAACACTAACTTGGAAAATGTATGAAACCCAAGTGGCTTCTTTAAGTTTCTCCATATAAGTGCTCTCTCCATCCTACCCACGAGAAAAAAAAGAGAGGAAAAGTTAGAACAGCAAATTTACAATGCATAATTCCATTTATCTGTCAATGAAATTTCAGCTTAGAATTTGTTGAAGGAAGCTTTTTTTTCACCTGAGATTTTAGCCTATCTAGCTCATTTGCTGTGTGGCGGAGTATTTGCTCAGCCTGGTCATTGAAAACAGACATCCAAGCTTCGCCGCTTGCATCTGAAACTTTCATCACCATAATATACCTGGAATTTTCAGAGAGAGATTAGTGGATTAGATATTCACAAGGTTCTTGAGAGTTTTATTTTAGGCACAAAGAGAGACAAGTTTCAAACCTCAATACACACTCATCATCATTCTTCTGGCAACTTTCACACCAGTAGCCATTGTCAAGGGCATCAGTTACTTTCTTGTTGCAAGTCTTGCATGCTCGATACCACATTGCCTGGTCGGGTTTGATGAAACTAACGGTTGCCTTTACTCTGAAAAATACAGGCTACAGACAGACAAAATCCCTTATTTCAGAACAAGGATTCAAGAAAGAAATTTGAACAAAATTGTCATGTGGGTTTCAGCTGTTGATATACCTTGCCCTCGCCAAGAGAGGAATTACTGGTTATATGAAGCAGGGAAACTCTCTCTGACAATGACCATGACCCAGTTTTGGAAGAGGGGCTCAAACCAGCACCAACTGAGGCCAATGATGTTTCTTTGCCTTCAGTATCAAACCTGTCCAGAAATAAAAACATATCATACTGAATGGCTTGACAATGGAAAACTTAAAAAAACACATTTTATGGAATATAGTATATGTACCAAGATCTCAAGTCTTTAGCTTTAGGTAAATCTGGATTCACCAGAACTGTACTCTTGCTCAACGCAGACAAAGAAACACCTGTAAAAAATATATATACATACACTTAAAATCAACAGATTTCTATCACATGCTGGATATCATCCATAAAGAATGAATTTTATCACCTTGGAAGTCTCCAACTTTAAGGGATTTTATTGCAACTACTGGAGATGTATAGGCCGTATCAAGTAATTCTTGTCCTACATTAGTGGCAAGATCACCCCACAAAGACACAACAACAGTCTTCTTCCTGGAAGCTCTTAGGGTCAGCTTTAAAATATCTGAGAATGAAAACAATAAAACAATAAAATCTCAAGTCAAAGAACACATACGTCTCATCTGCAATGGTTATGTCACGCTTTGGAATCATCTCATTGTTACTCTTTCTCCGGATGCTCATTGTTGGAGAAACACTTTGAACCACACCAATAACATCTGCAGGTCACAACAGTTCAATAAATTAATCCAGAACCAAATAAGGAAACAAAAAAATACATTTGTAGGGGTGAAGTCTTACCAACTAACTCCCGGCTATTTACATATGGACCAAGTTCATCAATTGGGATAAAGTTAAATTTAGTTTCGGGAACAAAAGCAGGCTCATCGCTAGCCTCTTCTACAATAGAATAGTCATTCAGTGTCATCTCGTAATCATTTTGTACTGTCTTGAACTGCTTGTTGGCCACTTTTAGGGTACCCTTTGAAATGTAATACATCTTCCCCAATTCGAACTTGTCATAGAACTTCTTCGCAGCTTCATTAAACATAGTTGCTTGTATTTGTGTTCCCTGGACAGGGACAACAACATTAGACAGCTGAATAACCCAATGTATGGTCTAATTTACATTCCAGAACAAATGACAAGAAAAATAATGCTAGAAAACCATAACACTCACATCCTGGTCTGTTAATTCAACATTGAAGACACATCCTTCTCCCCTAGCATTCTTGTAAAACCGCATATTACCTTTGTTAGTAACACAGACTTTAATTGTCCAGACTCCTTGGTATGGATTCAAGGATATAAGCGGATGAACTCTCCGAGTCATGGCCATGCGTGCTGGAGGTGCCATACTGCCATCCATCAAATAAAGATGTAACCATTAGACATCAAGATATGAATAATATCACAATGTTCCTTTGCAAAAACTACAAACTAATTCAAGATATAATGCAATACAAACAAATAAAAGTTTGGGTAATATTTAAACAGCTTTGCTATAAATCTGAATCTACAAGGGATACATCCACACAGATGTCTGGGAAGAGAGACTCACTTTCCATTTTGTTCATGTACAATCTGTGCAGCTGATTTGGACTCCTTCAATGTTGAACTATTCAAGCCCCTGTCCTGTTTTGGCTTCAACGCAATGCCAACATCATCCATTTTATCTTCTCTTTTCACCTCAACTTTGTATTCAGCCTCAAGAGAAGGAGAGACAGCCTCACACTTTGTGACAATCAGGTATCTAAACACCCCCAAACAAATCCAATTAGTTATCAAAATTCAATCTTTTCTCCAAATGGGAAAATAAAAATAACCATTAAATAAATGAAGGGTTTTATTGATACTAACTTTTCATTTTTCATGGGAATGTCATTGAGAGTATAATCAAGAATCCGAATAAGGCCCAGGTTCTGGATAGCCCCAGAAATGACATCAGCCGATGTGCTAGCCTGCAAAATCGCCTTGAGCTTCATCTTGCCGTCACTGGCCGTGAACCTATAATTCAAGATTTTCAATTTAAGCGAATTTCTATAAATCAAACAGATCAGATAAACCATTTTATGCGCTTTATTTTCTCATTTGACAATCAACATCCAAGATAAAACTACAATTGCAAACCCTAGACTGCATAAGAACAGCAGTTACATTTACAAACTTACATTCCAATCTATCATCACGCTTACAATTAGAACTTTCGAAATACTCGGGTGAAATGGGGAATAATAAATCTCAAAACAGTTACCAGCGAGAAAACTCACTAGCATATCGCCTAAATCGGGCAAAGATTTGGAAAAAGAACGAGGCTTACATGTATCGATTGCCGGTGGGCTTCAGATCCAGGACTTGGACGACGATTTCCGGCAGCTCAGACCCAGATTCCGGCGAAGGGTTAGCTAGAATGGTGGAGATGGCATCTGGGGTCACTGAATGCGCCATCTCTCTCTGCTGGGGATTTCTCCGATCAATCGCAACCGCTCAGAAATGATGTATAACACTGGGAGCGGCGGCGAAAAGCTAAGGATGAGGGGGAATGAGGAGTGATGCGGGGGTGGTTCTTGTAGGACTTGATGGGCGCGGGAATGCTTTGGTAGAGCTCCGAAAATTTGCCGCTGTTTTTTTAGGTGTATGGCGGGGAATTGCTTTTCATTTCCGAAAAAAAGGACATAATTGTTTGTACCTGAGCATATAGCATGTGGTGGGTACCTTAGCATTTTCCAAAAAAGTAAGGGTAGGATCTTCATCATCACGTTGCCGCCAAAGTAAAAGAGGGTTTGGTTTGAAATATTGAAGATAGGTTTTGCACTTTATCTCCGATTATACCTATTAGTAAAAAAATTTTCGGCCCGATTCCAGTGCCACAAGAATCCGGTGCCACCGGCATTTTGGGCACCTCCGATGCTCCGTTCGCAAAATTGACGATTTCTACCCCCCTTAGTCCACCCTCTAAACCCACTCCCTAAACCCCCCACCCTACCCCCGCCCCTGCACCCCCACCCCAACCCTGCCGTAAGCCCCCCACAAAATTTGTGGGGGGCTTACGGCGGGGTTGGGGTGGGGGTGCAGGGGCGGGGGTAGGGTGGGGGGTTTAGGGGGTGGATTAAGGGGGGTAGGAATCGTCAATTTTGCGAACGGAGCACCGGAGGTGCCCAAAATGCCGGTGGCACCGCTAGTGGCACCGGATTCCTGTGGCACTCGAACCCCACCCATTTTCGAAATAGTTTTTTGTAATAAAGTATTTTTCAATTCAGTCTTTTATAAATTCTAATTAATTACGTAGTGCTTTATAATTGAGATTTATTTCTCAGATAGTCTTTCTTAAATAATATTACTCAAATAATAATTAGTTAAATGATGTTTTGGTATTTCTATCATCTAAATTTAAAGTATATTTTCAAAATGGTCAATTCCATATAATTAAACATAAAATTAAAAAAATATATATTGATTATACATAATCCATGAATTATTAAAAACGTATATAAAACCTTTTAAAATTCGAATGAAATACAAATCTTTAATTAGAAAAAAATAATTTTAGGAAAGTACTTCATTACAAATGATTATTTTAAGAACCTAATATAATTTTGACTGATAAAAATAATAAAATATTTTTTTCCTATTAATCATCATTTGATTAACATTAATTACGAAAGACTATCAAGGGAATAAATTTTAATTATAGAAGACCACGTAAGTAATTAAAACTCATTGAGAATTGATTTGAGAAAATACCTTATTGGGGAGGATCATTTTAAGAATTTGCTTTAAACTTAACTTTCTCTAATGGCTACAATGGGGGTCGGTGGGGGGGGGGGGGAGACCCACCTCACCGCTAGGAGGAGCGGGGGAAAGCGGTAGGATATCATTGTGTTGGGAAAATAAACTTGTCACACACCGTGCTATGAAGACAACGAGAACCAAGATATATACGGTTATCCAATCCTATTAGAATGAGGTGTAACACTCCGGCCCCCACCCTAGCTGTAAGTGTTCGCTCATAGGATTGTAGACTGTCCCCACAAACCAATACAAGTCTTTCCCGCACACTTTGTCCTCACTCGTGCACACCCAAGGAAAACTTTTCAGGGGGTCACCCATCCTAGAATTGTTCTAGATCAAGCACGCTTAACCTTGGAGTTTCTAGGTGATGAACTCTCGAAAAGAAGATGCACCTTGTTGGTATGAGTAGTACTATCAATCCTTTTTGAGTTTTTCTCATTCCCATCTTGATACAGGGTATTACATGAGGCATTTTGGAATGTGCCTAAAAACAAAACCGCGAGGACATGGTCCATAATGGACAATATCATACTAATGTCGGTTTGGGGTGAGGGCACGCGTGGTCCCAACATGTGGTATCAGTGTGCTGTCTAGAGTTGTGGACTGCGCTGTGCGGAGTTCTCGGTGTACGTTGTGTGATAACTTGGCCAGAGGTTCGCAGACGCTTCTTTGTATTGAAAGTCTTCCCGACAATTGGTGCTTTGTCTTCTTCACAAGTAGAACCCCAAATTCAAAGGTGGGGCCAAGGCCAAAGGATCGTTGTCCAAGTGGACCAAATTATTTGGGCTAGTGTGTACTCGAAGAGCAGAGAAAACACATCCATCGACCTCAATGCATCAGGGACAACTTCAACGCTCTTGTGGACAAACCCAATACTAAGAGCGGTACAATTGGGATGAATGCGCCAAAGAATGCGAAGGCAAATGCTCCGAGTGTGCCACCCACGCCCCACAAAACACGTTGTTGAATAGAATGTATACTACCATTAACAGAATGAGCATCGTTGTTAATATCAACTACATCATTGAATTCATGAAGGAGGATACATCGTTGATGTTAGACAGGGAGCTGAAAATACATGATGGAATTATCAACGCGGCTCATGCCATAATTAAAAAGGGGAAAACAGTTGTATATGTTTTTTGTGTTGTTCTTAAGAAGGTCGGCTCAGGGAGCAGAAATGGTTGAGAACATGCATCGACCGTCTCGAACGCATAAAGAGAATTGTGAATGCAGTGCGACGGTTAAATGTTGGCCCGTGAACTCTCGAGTTGATCGACCGTCTCAAAGAAAAAAGTTAGGTTCTTTCTTTTCTTCTCCATCTCTTCACAAAAACTAACAATAGCAACAATAATAGCAATCAGTACATCGAAATATCCCGCCTATAGTCATCTAATTTTGAATATCCACCACTAGGGAACCCAAAGCGTATGTGAGGTCTCAAGAGCAAAAGACTTGATTTGATTCCATGATAAAAACAAAATTATGGAATGAGAAAGAAGTATTTATCATTCATATATTCTCTTCCATTTATTCCAAAGAGTACATCCATGAATAAAACAATCATTAGTGCTAAGTACTATTACAAATAGAAAAAGATCCACAAAGCATTGCAATAGAAAAAATAGATAACTTAATTATCCTGTAAGAGCATGTTCTTTATGGGAAAAAACAGAGATGTTGGAAGAAACTAAAAGAAGATGGAAAAAACTTAAAAAAATAAAAGGAACTCAAAGAAACTAGAAGAATTGGAAGAAACTTGAAGAAACAATAAGGAACTAGAAGAAAGTGGAAAAACTTCAAAAAAAAGGAAAACCTAAAAGAAGATTAAAAATCTATTTTAGTGTATTTTTATATTATTCTAATTCGAATTCTTGTTGTTATAAATAATAATTATTATTATCATCACGTTATCTTAATGAATTCATTTAAAATAAAAAACTATTGTTATTTTTCGCACACACAAAAACTACTTTTGCAAAAAATAATAACTATAAGAGCCCGGTTCCATGGCCACGGAAGCCACTGCCCTCATACGGAGCTCCGTTCATAAAATTGATGATTCCTACTGCCTCTAACCCCCCGGTAGACCCCCCCACCAAGTTCCGACCCAAACTAATCACCTCACCTACGTCAATTGCACCTCGTAAGTATAATTGACTTTAAAGTCAAAAGTTTTGACTTTATACTTACAAGGTGCAATTGACGTAAGTATGGTGATTAGTTTGTGTCAGGACTTGGCGGGGGATCTACCGGGGGGTTATAGGGAGTAAGAATTATCAATTTTATGAACGGAGCTCCGTAGGGGACAGTGGCTTCCGTGGCCACTGAAATCTAGTGGCCATGGAACCGAGCCGTAAATATAATATAAAGTTAGCATAAATATCAAAATGTTAAATTTTAAAAAGTTATTGTAGTTACATTGCACCTCAATTTATTTACGTAGTATTCACTATAAAATAATATATTTGTAATTATACTTTATATATTAGAAGATTTTGTTTTAAATACGAGACACATCAAATAATATAATCAAACTTATTTTTTCATGATTGACATTTTATTTTCATTCTAACTCCTCTTTTTAGAATAAAGACATAAAACTTTTATTTTTGTATATTTTTTTATGTTTTACTCCTATTTTAGTCATTTTCTACTAAAGTATTTTGACTTTTAATTTTTTTAATACAAATTAGAAAAATGAAAAAACTTTAATTTTTGAAATAAATAAAAATGAGAAATAATTGAGTAATAAAGGAAAATGTGAGGGGTCTTATACAAAATTACTTTAATAAAACATTCTATGTAACTATTTTATCCATAAATTTTTAATATAGTTTAAAATATTGATGTTTTCCTATTTTATAATGTAAATTAATATAAAAAAAATTCATATTGAAATTAAAAAAGTTGAAGAAAAAATAATAATAAGTGTGAATCGAAAAAGTAGTGAGATGAGAAAAATAATTTATAAACTATATGTATGAACATAATACTTGTAATAATAATAATACTAATAATAGTCACATTTAAAATATATCATTTTTAGAATAATTGGTTGGAGAGTAGAAAGAGTTAGAAGAAAATGAGAATAGTTGAAAGAAACTAAAAATAACTAAAGAAACTTGAAGGAATTGAATAAGCTGGAAGGAACGTAAGAAACTAAAAATTAAAGTTTAAGTCTTAGAAAACAGGTTTTAAATGGGAGAAAGACCAATGTAAAACTAAAACATTGAAAATATACCAAAATAGGACTTCCATATTTTTATTTCCGAAATAAGACTTACATTATCAAACATGGTTATGTGCATTACCAAAAATGTATAGTAATGTGCACAGTGCACATGTACAGTGCTACATTACCACAGTGAAAAGTCTTATTTCGGGAAAAAAAAAATGAAAGTTCTATTTAGATACTTTTCTGTATGTTTTAGTCATATTTAGGTAGTTTTAAATTTCTTCCAATTCTTTATGATTCTTTCTTTGTATGTGGATGTAGATTTCCACGTAATAGTAAGTGTTTCTTGTTATGAGAGCCGCTAACGCCAAATCCAAAAGATTGGCTCATCCTGTTTTGGGATATTATACGCCACTCATTTATACATTACTTATTTCAAAGGCAATATTAGTGTATTGAATCATTATCATCATATCATCATCCCCAACAATTAGTTTAAAACCATATATATGAAAAATAGAAGTGATTCTCTATTTCATACGACACCAGCGATGCCAAGCACTATAAAAAGTACCACTTCTAATTTTCATGTTAAATAAGTGTTGGATCAAACTCAATAATAAGTACCTTTAATTAAGCAAATGTTAACACACAAAAATTCCAAATGGTTAGAGCATTCAACCAGAAACTTAGTGATAAAAGATTAGAGATGAGTAAGAATCTGCTGAAGTTGAAAGGCAACAAATGATCTAAATAAAGATGAAAAGATGACACAATCTTTTAACAATAAAAGTAATAGTTAAAGATTAAAAAGTTATAGTGCATATCTCAAGTATAAAAATTGATCATAGTCGAATGTTGGTCTCGACAAATTAAAAAGGCCAAAATAATATTTTGAAAGAAATTTACACAATTGAATGAACTAAATTGGAGGGGGATCCCGAGAAAGGTAAGAATCCACCCGAGTAAGTCATACTTAAATAGTTAAATAACCACCTACGTTTATGCAACCAGATTCCGAACAATGCTGGCTGGCTGCAATAGCATCCTCAAAATTGTCTTCAACAAAAATGTGTATGAAGGCCATCAGCATGGATGCAATGTTAGTACACTTCTATTAATGTGACATTGTCTCTTTGATCTTCTTGAAAACCAAAATTCCTCAAGCATTCTTCATTCTATAATAAGCAACTCCTCTTAGTAATCCATATAATATATAGTATCCTGCCAAGAGGAAGGGAATAATAGTAAAAGCAAAATTAACCAGAAGTCATCTTGACAACAGATGTGGAGTTGAGTAATGCTCCCTCCATCCCATAAAAAAAGAATCCCAAGTCTAATGTATTAAATTTCACCAAACAAAAAAAAAGTCAAAATAGCACTTTTTTATAATGAATTTCAATAGTTGCAAGTTGCAACTTACTGAAAAAAAAAGAAGCTGTGCCATTTTGGAAAAGGAAACCTTTTCAGGGATCACAGGAGTCGGAAGTCAATGAAATTACCATGAAATCTCCTAAGAACAGAATGAGCAACACATGAAGCACGAAAACCACTGTTTTGGTGCAGCATCTACATTATGTTCAGGCTGAGGAGCCTGCTGTGGTGATTCTCCCTCTTGCACGGGCAATGGCAACGGCTGTGGCGGCTGCTTTTTTTCAGTCTTTAACTTTGCCAAACCGTCTTTGTCTATTTCCCCTGACAATCTTTATTCATTGAGACGGATTTAGCAACACTTTTATTGAATTGCTATTTAAAAAAGAAGAAGAAGTATTCCCTTATTGATGATGGTGATTCCTTATTAGAAAATTATATGAGAGGACCCTTTTTGCAACGAGGGAGCACCACGCTAGCATGCTTCATTATGAGTACGTTTCTGAAAATGGAGCATTGGGATTTTGCCACGTTATGAAGTGGCAGCATCCTAATGCTTCATTTCAACACCGTGCTCCATATGACTCCCTTTTTTCAATGCATTACTACTTACATTGGGAATGCAAAGGATCTTCCACTGGTGCCACTCTCGTCAGAGTAACGAGAAGTCTGTTCCTCAACACGACATTTTTCCTGGTTTTGATTTTTACTGTCCCTTAAGAAATCTCTCATGGACGTCTCTGCCATGTCTATCCCTCCAGCCCTTGCCAACTCAGTTATATGGGCAGATGAAGGCCTCACTGGAGCGATATCTACCGCTGCAGGGGCCACCTCAGAAGCTTCTTCGTGTTCACAAAGCTCTTCAGTCTTCAAAAGGAATTCATCTCTACAAAAACTGGTATTGTCCAACTGGATACTGAATAATGACTCATTAGAGCACATACTCCATTCCAGTTCTTTTCTGGACTTCCCTTGAGCAAACACAGAAGATGGGATCCTATATCGTACCTCATGTACAACAGGTTCTTCCATCACTTGGGTTCGTGGAGATTCTGTGGCCAACAAGTTGCTGGGAACTTCTTCTTTAGCCGTGGTTTTGTTTTTATGACCACTCTCTACAAAAGGACTGTCCAGAGGAGTGTCGGGAGATGAACAGTTAGAGGAGAATGAGGTGTTCAACTTCTTGCTTGAAGAGAGAATGTTAATAGTTCCCCCAACAGGGTGCTGAGTTGTTGGTGACTTGTCACCATTACCAATGCCATTCTTTGATTCCATAGCTTTAGCTGGCTGACTTGAAGCATTTTCTGATGGTTCCATAACTTATATACCTGCTGTGAAATACTGAAATAGGTGGGTCAGTAAACCAACGCCAGAATTATGAATTTGAAGATCCCAAAATTATACCCCCTCCGTCCAGAATTAGTCGTCCACGGTCTAAAGATATCTCATTTTTAATAAACGGGTTTAAATGTCTAATAGATTCTTCAAAAAAAATTTGTCCCTCATTCGTGTCAAGAGTGCTCGTATCTTATCTCTAGAATGATCTAGACACTTCATCATAATTTCTATATTGAGCATATGATTCGGGACAAACAAAAACACGAAAGTGGACAACTAAATCCAAACGGAGGGATCACTTCATCTCCTATAAAGATACTAGTAAAAGTTTAGAACATTACTTCCAGTAATGATATTCGAAATATAATAAACCAATAAAAAAATCACCAAAACAGTTCTACAAATATACTTTTCCTTGATTGAGAAACCGACTCGCAAAATTCTTCCAACGTAACCACAAAAAGATTACCAATACAGCTTGTGTGTTGCTTCATGGAAAGGTTCACAACGCACATTTTATTACAGAGAAAACGTCTCTCCACATCCCTAAAATTCGCAAATGCGGTTCTATAAACATGAATATAAGCAGATGAAATATAACCCTAAGATCAATCAAACCTAGGGAAAAAATACTGGATAAGCAAGCGGAAAATTTTCGAAAATTTCTTGTGAATTATGAGCGGAGGAAAGCCCGAGAATTGAACGGAGAATACCGGAGGAGAGTGGGGGCGCCGGGAGCTGGCCGGGAAAACCAGCGGATGAGGGGCGCCGTTGGCCGGCGGATTCATGTGCTACGCATCCCTCGCATTTCCAAAAGCTGCGTAGAAATTGATCGATAAGTTGCCGGAGCGTTTTCTCCCCCACCCCAAAGAAAGGAGAAAAGGTTACAAATTCTGTACAAACCGAACGGCCCTATGGAGAATCACCCGAAATACAAGCTTTGTTTTTTTTCTGTTTTCACCCGATAAACTCGCGCCCTTTTTCTTTTGTTGCTTCAATCATTTTTATGAGTATAATTTAGAAGTCGCCCAACAAAAAAAGAAGTAAATTGAGTTTTAATTATGGGTAAGGTTCCCAACACATTGTCTGGCGGAAAGATCCGGGAGCGCTCTGGTGCCCGTTCGTAAAATTGACAGTTTTTACCCTCTAACCCTTTCAGTAAACCTCCACCCGGACCCGAACACACCCTCCACCCCCTTTAAATGCATTCCACAAGTTGATTTTGACTTTAGAATCAAATTTAACTTGTGGGGTGCAATTGAAAGGTGTGGTGAGGTTTACTGAGGGGGTTAGGGGGTAGGAACCGTCAATTTTACAAACGGGACACCGGATCGCCCCCGAGTCATCCCAAGACATTGTCGGGCAATGTCATGTGATATTGGCAGACAATGTCATGGGAACCTTGCCTTTTAATTATACATAGACTTGTAAATTATGGAGCATGCAGTTAATACTTGCAGAGGTCATATGCTTAGCAGCTTCGGCTCAAGTGTGGGCCAAGTAACACAATCAATCCCGGTCTTTTTTGGAAGCCCTAGATTTTATTTTTTATATGCATAAAGTTTGATCGGCTTTATTTTCAATTCAGTTTATTTGATTGTAAGTGAAAAATTATATATTTAAAAATAGGTAAAAAAGTTCTATAAAATAAAAGGTGACATAACTATGTAATACGAAATATTATGAAATGACTAGTGAAAATCATTAAACAAATTAAACTTAATAAAATTAGAACATGTGAATATAAAAACTTAATTTTTTTTATGAATTAGACCCATCAAGGCTAAGGACGTTTTTTTTGTCCAAGCCCAGGAATCCTCAAAACCGACATTCATGCTTAGTATAGTTACCTCACATCGCAATTGTTCGAAATCAAATTCGAGTGTTACAACAATGGTACCTCTTACCTTGTTAGGAGTGTCCCTATTTCAAATTCAAATGTAGACATTGTTAAAATTGGTAATGAGTTGGACCAAGCTTGGCTCAAACTTGACAAATCATTTGCTCAATCGATTCAGTCGGAGATCTTTGGAAAACAAATCCTAGCTTGAGCTGAGTAATGAGAGAAAATTCTCGAAATGGTATTCAATAACTATTTTTTTTTCCAAATTTCATAATAATTAGTCTTATTGGTTTTGTTGAAGGATGTATATTTCATCCTTACATATAGAGAATACCAAGAGACCATAATCATAATGGAATAATAATTATAGTAATACTAGAATAAGGAAACCATATAATGATGATGATGATGATGACGACGATGATGATGATAATGATACTAATAATAATAATAATATATCTTGTTTCCTATTATCTCACGTTAGCTAATTATCGATAACAAGGAGTATATTGGAGCATTGGAACTATAATGAAACTGACCAAAGCGATTTGGGAGATTGATGATTAAGAACAAGTAATTTGAGAGAGAAAAAAGTGAAATCCAATTCGAACTTTGGAATGGAGTTTTTTTTAAAAGACGCAGGTTGATAAAAAGATTTCTAAAAGCCAATTTTGATTTTACTAGATGCATCAATGGCACAACACAAATGTCAGTCTGAGATTATTACGAGGCAACCTTTTTTAGCAAGAGAATATACTAAGAGAGAGTTATATATCATCATCAAAATTGAAGTAGATCGACAACAATTGGGTAGAATATTATAGTTTTAGAAGTAAAGTGAAAACAACTGCCCGACGGACGGCTAATGATGGCACCTCCCGCCAGGAGTGAAGGCAGTGGATTTCAGGTTACCAAGAGTGGCGACTCTGATATCATGTAGGAATATTGGAATAGTAACGTTGCCCATAATTTCTCCTTCTAAAAAAATTGTGCGCGAGGTTAACAACCATCCTCGATTACAATGAGTGTTTCTAACAACTATTGCCTCTTATTCTCCTCTTTTTCTCCAAAATAATTATGAGTGTGACTAAGAGCCTTCGTTCTTTATCCCTCTCTTTCTCTGCAAAAAATTAAGAGAGTGCTTAACACACTCTATTTCTTACCTCTTTTTCATTCCTAACTATTTTTGGTGTGTGATCGAAGAAATGAAAACTGCATTTATCTGTGTATCTTCTAGAGTTCAAGAGTATGGAGAGTGATAGAGAAGTTATCCACAAAGAGAAAAACAGAAAGCCCCCCACTCGCTCCAATTGCTAAAACTGTCGTAAAAAGAACTAAGCAAACATGCTCTTAAGTTTGTTCGTCATGCAAAAAGACCCATCTCTCTAATCATAACAGCTATCCTCACAAAATTACTCTTGTTGACTCCATTCAAGTACCTATGCTTCAAGCTTTTCATCGTTACTAATGATCAGCTTGTAGGGAGATATTATGAATAATAGAAAACAAATATTAATGTTATATGCTTTTCTTATTTTATTTTTTCTATAATGGTTGTTCTACTATGACTACAATTTTCTCTTGCAATCCCTATATGTAGGGACTGAATCTTCATTGTTCAATAAGACCAGTTATTATGAAATTGTATAATAGTATCAGAGTAAGGGTTTCTTCATCTTAAAAAGAATAGTATGCGTGCTTAACAGCTACCACCAATCCTAACTGATACAATTTGATAATAACTCTTCTTATTGAATATTGAGAGATATGACCCAATATAGGGAATAAAAAAGTAATCAAAGTACAAGTAGGAAAGGAAAAAATAATCCTAGTAGGAAAGGAATGTAATAGCTTAATTTAATTATACTTCCTAATACCCCCCGCAAGTTGATCAACGGAGACGAGGGGTAGCTTGGAACATAAGTACTCAAAAGGAACTGGCGGAAGCGGTTTTGTAAGAATGTGTGCGAGCTGCTCTAAGGGGGAGACATGATGTGGAGTCATAGTTCATGCCATAACCACATCTCGTACAATGTGACAGTCTGTTCCCACATGCTTTATGCGATCATGAAGAACTGGATTTTTGGTGACACAGATAGTAGACTCATTGTCACAGTATAACTTCGGCTTGGATGGAGAAATACCCAGCGCATCAGTGATATATCGAAGCCACATAGCTTCTGCAACCCCCGCAGCCATAGCTCGATATTTAGCTTCAGTGGATGATCTAGAAACACGAGTCTGCTTTTTCGTGCACCAAGAGATGAGATTAGGACCGAGTAGGAGGATGTAGCCTGTGGTGGACTTGCGATCATCTTTATCATTTGCCCAGCCAGAGTTAGAGTAGACAGATAGGTCGAATCCCCCCTTGCGAAAAAGAAGACCACGATGAAAAGTGCCTTTTAGATACCGCAGAATGCGTTGTAAGGCATGATAGTCCTGCTCAGTGGGGTTGTGCATAGTCTGAGACACTCGATTAACAACATACTGAATGTCTGGACGGGTGACAGCTAGGTAATGTAAACCGCCAACAATGCTCCAAAAATGAGAGATATCCTTGAAAGGCAACAAATGCTTAGTGATAGGTCGCGTAGCCATAGGAGTAATAGCCGGATGACAGTCAGACATCCCTGCTCGACGTAGAAGATCACATGCATATTTGGACTGATGGAGAAGTATAGAATCTTGCATGCGCTGAACCTCAATGCCAAGGAAGTAATGAAAAGGTCCAAGTTCTTTGAGCTTGAAGTTACGGTGCATGGCCTGAATGACTTCTGAGATGAGAGTAGAAGAGCTGCGAGTGAGAACAATATCATCAACATAGACAAAGACAACAATAGTTCCACGAGAGCAGTGCCTGGTGAATAAGCTGGTATCATGAATGTAGCACTGGAATCCAAGGTCCTACAAAAAGAGGAGAGGCGTGTGTACCAAGCACGGGGTGCCTGCTTGAGACCATATAGTGACTTGCAGAGCTTGCAAACATGGTGATGATGATTAGGATTTATTTACCCCGGAGGCTGCTCTATAGAAATTTCCTTGTCCACCGTACCGTGAAGAAATGCATTGCTAACATCCAATTGATGAAGAGACCAATCACGGTTCAGTGCTAAAGAGAGGACCAGGCTCACGGTTTGTTGTTTGACCACAGGACTGAATGTCTCCTTGTAATCAATGTCATACTCCTGATGATAACCTTTGGGAACAAGACGAGCCTTATACCTTGAAACATATCCATCAGCATTCTGTTTAATGTGATACACCCATTTGCAACAATTGGGAGTGCAGTTCTTGGGTGGTGGCACCAAGTCCCATGTATGTTGCTCATTCAAACCAATAAACTTATCATTCATAGCCTGACACCAAAAACTATTACCAGAGGCTTGACGGTAAGTATTAGGCTCAGTGGTAGGTGGGGTATTATCAAGGGTGGTAATGGTATAGGCTTTAGGTTTGAAAATTCCAAATTTGGTTCGGGTTTGCATGGTGTGTGTGTTTTGGGGCAGGGGTCGGTTAGCTGTCTCTAGGGAATCAGAGGGAGGAGTAGGTGACGGTTGAGTGTGGGTTGGGGTACGGTTTTGGGGTTGGACCGTCTGTGGTGTGTCTAGAGGAAGGGTGTCGGGCAGTCCTCCATGACTGGTGGGACGGGTCTGGGTTTGGACCGTCGGTGGGACAGGAGCATGTGAGCCTGGGCTTGGTGGAAAAATAGGGGTTATATGAGATGATGAAGGGAGAGATGACAATTTGGGATATGGAAATTGATCCTCGACGAACCAAACATGACGAGAGACATAAACTTTTTGAGACACGGGTTCATAGCATTTATACCCTTTAGTGGTGGGGTGATATCCTAAGAAGACGCAGTGAGTGGAGCTTGGTTGAAGTTTGTGGTGAGTGTAAGGGCAGAGCCATAGATAGACTAAGCAACCAAAGGGACGAATGTGGGTATATGTAGGAGGACGGTTATAGAGGGTTTCAAAGGGAGATTTGTTAGAGAGAGTTTTGGTGGGCATATGGTTGATAAGATAGTTTGCTGTGGCAAGAGCTTCGACCCAAAAGTTAGTCAGGAGAGCAGAGTCGTATAGAAGAGAAACAACCGTTTCAATGAGATGACGGTGTTTCCGTTCAGCGACCCCATTTTACTTAGGAGTGTAGGGACAAGAGGTGTGATGGATGACTCTTAGAGTTTGAAGGAAAAGACCAAAAGCGTTATTTACAAATTCTTTGCCATTATCACTTTGAAAAATTTTGTTGTGAGAATTAAATTAGGTCTTAATCATTTTTTCACAAGTCACAAAAACAGAGTAAGCTTCAGATTTATGTTTTAGGGGATAAATCCAAGTAAATTTGTTGAAATCATCAACAAAAGAGATATAAAATCAAAAGCCGCTACAGGACGGAACAAAAGTGGACCCCAAACATCAGAATGTATTAATTGAAAAGGCGTTGTGGCCTTATGTTCAGACAATTGAAAAGGTAAAGGACATGACTTAGAGACATAACATGATTCACAATATAAAAGTTCTGAAAACTGAAAATCTAAGGAAGACAAAATAGATTTGGCAATCGCAGAAGCCGGATGACCAAGTCTACGATGCCATGTGGACTCTTGGATAGCTTGATACACAATGGTTGGGAGTTTGGAAGGAAGTGTGTATAACCAATGCTCACAGAGGCCCTTGTACCGCACCTAGTTGGTAGGATTGTCCACTATCTGGAAATCATTGGCATTAAAAACAAGGGTGCAGTTGTTATCTTTAGTAAATCGATGGCCAGACAATAGATTGGAGGTAAGGGAAGGAACATAATGAAGAGTAGAAAGGTGGTATTTACCATTATGCGTATGGACAAAACCTGAGCCAGAGTGTGTGATGGGTAGGGATTGGCCAATGTCACACCCCAACCCGCGCAATCCGAACCAACGGGTTAGCGAATCGGGTTGTTACTAAATTGTTATTCGCATGCATAATTTTTTTTTTAAAAAATAACAAACTGAATAAATTATAAATTCATTCTTGAGAGTTTAAAACTAAACCAAAATTTATCAGAGTAATAAAACAAGTCCAAAAGTCGTGGAAGCATAATAAAACCAAAGTAACGTCCAACAATCCATATATTCAAATAAAATAATGTAGTTGAATTACTAAAGTAAACAAGAGCCATCCACGCCACCACCACTTCACTGAACTCCGGGTTGCCCATCAAATTCTGTGTTCCTACCTGTGTGCAGTCAAACAACAATGACTACACGCTCAGCGAAATGCTGAGTGAAAAAATATACCTAAGCCAACATTAACTCACACAATAGCACCACATTAACATACAATCAACAACATCATGTGATCACGGAGAAAAATAGCTTAAATAAACATATTTATATTAACACCTTTCATTTGAGCATCATGTCCTTATTTTATTCCACATCAACTACTTTGAGTCATGGCATCCCAAGCGATGCTATAAAAGGGCCAGCTCAGAAACCCAAAGGAGATTCACTTTGGGCGGATTGAAGCCCTGTCCCTACGATGCCAGGACAGGTTGGGACTTCCGAACGTACGTTTTTAACCCAAGACCACCGGGGGTGCGACGACGCCCCGCAATGGCCAATTTCCTAACCATATCCTATTGGTGATTCAATCAGTCAATCCAATTCAGGTCCGCCTAAATATACTAGGTGGCCTATTTATCATACATTGTTCATAATCCACATTATTCACCAATAAGATTAACTTAATTTAACATTGGTTCACAAATTCACAATAAATCACGTAGCGACCTATCCGGGCCGAAGACCCACGATTACCGTCATGCATAATCAAACAACCCAAATTACAATTAACCCAACTTACCTTCGCGAAATCGAGCCCAAGGAATCAATCATTAGGCCCGCTGCCCCGCCAGAGCAGTCCACATCGTTGCCGGAACAACCCCGGCATCCCACGGGTAGCCGCCCCGGCTGCCCGAACCCGAAACCAGACCAAAAAGCCCCGTTGGGTGGTTCACAGCAACCCGAACAGTACATCAATTAACCCAAAACAGTCCAATCACATCCAATTGCAATTGAGTAGCCCAATTGAACCCGTTTGGACCCAATTGCGCCCAATTAGCTCCAATTGACCCAATTGAACCCCCCTGACTGTCACCAACCACTGCCGGGGACCAACCGCCCCGCCGCCGGCATTTCGCCGGAAAAACGAGCAGCAACACCCCCAAATTATCAATCACACCAATTCAATCATCCACAACCAACTCCTCAACCAAATTTAAGGATTATGTACTAAGAAAGTCCTAAACCATGAATTAACACTAAAGCTAGGTATAGAACAACGATTCACCTCGAAATCTGACAAGTTAAACCTTGGATTGAACAAGGTCGCCGCTGCAATTCCCCGATCTCGTCGGCTCGGACGTGCGACGAAGGGAAGGAGAGGAGGATGGAGGTCGATGGCGAGGACTCGACGACTTCTCTGGTCGGCGTCACAGCGGCGAACGGAACAACACGGGAGAGAGAGAGCTCGGGCGTTACGCGATAAGGGATGGGTTTTGTAACTTCCCCGGCATGTTTAATATATAATTAAATATATTTAGGATCCAATTTACACTTCCGAGCCAATTAGGATAAGTTTAACCCCAATTACCTGATTCGTCAATTGTATCTTGGACCCAATAAAACCGATTCACGATCCGTTTACGCGATCGGGTACAGAACTGCGAGCTCTATAACCTAGATTAAACCCTCATTAATTCGGGAAAATTAGAAAATAATCCTCGTATTGACCGACCCAATAATTAATTCATTCTATAAATTAATTAATATACTAAGCCGTGTTCCAGGGCGTTACAGCCATTGCCTACGGTAATATAGCAGTACTGGTGTATTGATAGGAGATTATAGCTGAGAATAATCAGACGTAACATGGGTGTTGGCACCAGTGTCCAGATACCAGTTTCCAAAATGATTACTCGTAGATGCATGCATTGCACGGGGAGCACTGGGGGAGGAGTTCGTAGCATAAGAATCATCAAACCAATACCAGCACGCAGACGCAGTGTGACCTCGTTTCTCGTAGATTTGGCAGATTGGTAGATCCCGTGACGGTCGATCGTAGCCCTGGGACGGTCGATCGTAGTTCCTTTCGCCACGTTCGCTGTTATATCCACCATGTCCAGGAGACGGTCGACCGCGGTAGCCTCCTCTACCGCGACCTCGACCGTTTGTAGCGAGAAGTGTTGTGCGAGGTTCGGTGATGGTAGACTCGATGAGGCTGAGTTTATTCTTCATCTCCAGGTTTATTTCTTCAGAGATCAGCCATCCAGAAAGCTGATTTAACGTAATATTGGTACTGTTCATGCGAATGTTTTGCTTAAAGGATGAGTATTCGGTGGGAAGACCACGAATAACAGCTTTCACCACATCACGTTCGGGGATCTCCTCTTTCAAGGCGTCGAGATCCAAGAGAATAGTGGCCACATCATCAAGGTATTGTGTCATAGTTTTGGTACATTTACGAAGAGTGTGGAGTTTGTCCCGAAGTTGATAAACATGGGCGGTGGACACGAAATTGTACCGTGCGGCCAAAGCATCCCAGAGGGCAGCAGATGTGGTGAAGCCGCGAGCATGTTTGTGAATGGAGGGGCTGATGACCGCTAGGAGGCAGGCGCGAATCTGTGTGTCAACGATGGTCCAGGAGGTATACTCTGGATTAGGGACAGTTTTATCATTTTTGGAGACAGTTGGCGTCGGGGCTGCTTCATGACCATCAATCCATCCAAGGAGGAGATTAGCTGAAAGAGCTGTCTGGACATTGAGACACCATGCCGGATAATTTGTTTCGGTGAGTTTTTCTGGAATTCAGTTGTGGAGACTCCGAAGCAAAATTTTTACTCCGGAGGGTAAGGAAGCCAAAGGATCCGACGGGGCTGCCATGGTGGGCGGCGGTCGGTGAAGGGCACGGCCGGGAAAAAAAGAGGCTAGGTTTTTGAGAGCCTTAGCTCCAATACCATGATACAATTTTATAATAACTTGTCTTATTGAATATTGAGAGATATGGCCCAATATATAGAGAATACAAGAATAATCAAAGTACAAGTAGGAAAGGAAAGAATAATCCTAGTAGGAAAGGAATGTAATACCCTAATTTAATTATACTTCCTAATACTAACAAGTGTGCCCTATATCTCTCTTTCTCTCCAAAAAATTACGAATGTACCTAACATCTGTCATCCTTTATCCCTCTCGCTTTCAAAAAAATTTGTAATAGCCTGGAAATTAAATTCCAAAACTTCCGATCTTCTCACTTATAACAATGAACTGGTTGATAAGCTGGTAGAATCACATGAGATCAGGACCAAAAGACACAAACCCTAGCTTCAACCAATCAAACTCTCTTCTCAAATCTCAACAAGCCTAGCCACATGAGTATCAATCACAACCAAATTTAAACCACTCTCTTTGCTATTATACTCTTTGCCTTTTTCTAATCTAATTCTTATTCTTGTCTTTCATTATTCCCAAACATCAGGTCTTGTGTGTGTGTACTTTTGTATACTCTATTATTCTTGAGTAAACCTATTATTCTATTTATTCCAACAATTCCACAAAAAGACTCAATTACTGAAATGACACTCATTAGTTAAAGATAGTGTTCAATTTAGTCCATAGACTAATGACAGTAAAAAAGGCTAGGTGGCATCGGATATTATATGCGGAGTATTTCTAAATAATGCTCGGTTTTCTCACTGCAAAATTACCGAATTCAAAAGTCATGAAGAAGTTTTGGGGAAAGCTTTTTTTTATGGCTCAATGTTTCCCCAAATATTACCTATACAAATATGGTCAATTATTGAGTTGCATGTTGATTTGGTACTCTTGATTTTTTTTATAACAATAGTGGTTGGATATTTGGTGCATTTGTACAATCTTATCTTCTAAAGAAATAGCTATACTTTTAGTCCCCATTAAAAATACCATTGTTGTTATCTTTTGTATTGTTATGAAGAAAGTGTATCTTTTCTGAAGTATTTAGAGAATTGAAAATGAGAATAGCAAGAATCTCTAAACATTGAGCATTCGATGTCATATTTACCTACGATGCTCCTTGGTTAAATTCTCCAAACATCCAAAACTCAAGGTGGGAGCAGTGCAGGAGGCATGCAAGGGTTCGGTGTTAAAAGAATTAGGAACTATCAATTTTACAAATAGAGCATTGTAGATGCTTGGGTCATTTTGACATTGAATGTTCAATGCCACCGGAACCATTACGAAATTCGAAATGTGTTTTTCAAGATGTTCTTTATATGTTTTCTTTGAAATAAATTTCTATACTTTACACCGACTCAAATACTTATGTGTCATGTTGATTCTATATTTAATTTGAATTTATACATCTATTTTAGAACATTATATTTTTTATATTTTGGAAAAAGTAACTTAGCGTGCAACATATGAGCATGAATCTAATTTTATCAAATGATAGATTAAAATATGTAAGGAAAGAGAAAATTATTTAATTGCATGACTAGTACCCAAATTCATCTTGATCGCTCCTATAGCTCGACGAAATCGTAGCATGTCTACTCAATACGAGAATTAGATTCCTTCTTCGATTTACAATGTCTAGTTGAAGTTATTTTGGGGCATACTGAGTAATATTTGGTGATGTAAAAGCATACTAATCCTCAATTCCTCATGTTGGTAACCATGTGGTTCCCAGGTCTAATGAGAACACACTATGACTTGTACAACTATCAACTAATTCACATTCTAGCATCATAAATTCAACCAGGGACAACTTGGTATGATATGCTTACAAAGATTACTAATGTTCCACAACCAAATCAAATATTTGATGAAATACAAAGAATATAATATCATTCCAAGACTAATTCATGTAGGGTGTAAATAGATTCATTCAACAAAGTATGGTAAAAAAGAATACATTTTTAAAACATTAACAAGTTCATAGAACAGTGTACAACAAAAGCCTCAAGCAAAAACCGAGTTGAGAAATAAAAAACCACACCTAGCATGACAGAAACAGGCAGAGCTGGCAAAGCTTTCTGATAGAAAGCAAGAAGCATGAGAGTAATCACAAGACCGGCAATGATTGCGAGGTAACAAGCGTATACGGTCATGAAGTCATACATGGCAGCTCTCCCAACTAATACGCTGTAGAAAATGAAATCTCCCAATCCCAATTTAATTGCACCGGACGAGCCTAACCCGACTCCTTCAGGTGCCAAGCCATCACAAGGCCCTTCCTGTGAGTTCAAGTCAGCATCTACTATGTGCTGAATTAAAGGCACAGCAAGTTCAGAATCGTCTCTCGCGATTGTTATCGTCTCATTCTCATTGTTCCTGTTGATTGGAGATGAACCCAATGTAGAATCGGAGTTTGGGTTCAATTCGGTTGCAAGTCTTTCTCTCCATACCCTCCTTTGTAGGACAGTTCCCCTAGGGATGGAATGGGGATTGAGGACAGGCCTGGCCTCATAAACCAGAGCAGGGATGTCTTCATCTCTTGAGATTGCAAGCTCAACCAATAGCCTCAGAGGCCCAACAGGTAACAAAACAGCAGCAAGATCATACAATGCCATTGCAATGAGAAGCACCCACGTCGTCCATTCGGGCAACAGTGTAAACCAATAGGCAACAAGCATTCCAATGATAACCAAGTACCCTTGTGTAACAAGAATTGCCATTTTTGACATGAACACAGCCAGGACACCAACCACAGTGAAATTATACAGAACTAAGGAAAATGTCACGAAATCGATGGGAAAGCTGAGATCTTTGATCAAGAAGAGTGAGATTTCACCGCCCGTGATCGCCAAAACAAGAAAAGAGGAGAAACCCATGTAGTATTTCAAGAAACTGGTTAATCTGTAATAGAACATCAAGAGGAGAATGAAGGTCACGACAGTGACTACAGCTATGAAAATGAGGGCATTCAAAAGGGCACCTTTCAGCTTGTCCCACGCCGTGTCTGAGCTGCTCTCGGAGTACGCGGCGGTGGCTATGGTGGTGAGCGGCGGCGGAGAGGGATCTGGGTCAGTGTTGAGTACAGATACAAGAAGAACGACAAAGAACATGCAGATGGATACTGGGATGATGATTCTGACGATTTCTTCGCCAAGGGAATCAAGAATGGTGGTGCGCCTTGTGATTTGAGGCATTTGGAACCGGATGAATCGGAGCAATGGCTTCCTTTCGTCTCTGCAAATTTGGTTGGAGGTCTGGGACTTTAGACTTTTCTTGCTATACCCGTAGAATTACATCGTGACTGTTTGTTAAGTACCAATTTTTTAAATTCGACGGAGTATTTATTTTTTATTATCCATTTGTTAAAATAATATAGCTTTTTTATACACAAAAAAGTTTTTTTTAAATATGTAAATTTTAGCTTTAAATTACATATCAATTTTCTACTAAATTGTATTGAAAATAATCTCAGTCAAACTTTATACTTTATGATAAAAATGAAAATTTTAAATTAGAGCGGAGGAAATACATTTTCTTTTCCTTATGGTCTTCTTTTCTGTTTCTTATTGAACTCATAATGAACATAGCTTAACTAAATGATGGGATAGTGTTAATCCAGATTTTAAAAAATGACAACAATAATAACATGATCATGCACGAGATTCTTACACATAATATACATGAGATTCTTATATGTACAAGAGATAGATTTCACTCTTCCAAATATAAGTATTGTTCAATTTAACTCATCAAAACTTTCCGTCTAGAAGCACGGTTAGTTGGACGATTAGAAACTCAACTAAATAGTAAAGAGATCATTTTAGAAAAATTGCAAAAAAAAAAAAAATGGCCGGACCGGTCCGATCGGCCGGTTCGTACCGGTTCAGACCGGTTCGAAGCTCATTACGGTCCAACAAGTCGGACCGACCAATTGGACCACTAGTTCGCTGGTTCACGGTCTGAACCGGCCGATCTGGCCCGATTTTTAAAACTATGGATATATCACTAATGTTTTTTGAGTGGAGTTCCGTTGACAGATCAACAATGTCACTAGTGGTGACATTGTATTTCCTACTCCCTAACTCACTCTACAAAAGAAAAATGTTAGAAGTACACCAAAGGTGTACCCCAAATATTCCTCACTCCCTCTTTGTTCATTAAAAAAGGCAAAAAAATTAAAAAAAAATAAATAAAAATCAAATAAAAATATGTGGAAGAAAAGAGGGTAGTGTACATTTAGAGTACATTTTTGGTGTACCTCTAGATTTATTCTAATATGCAGCGACAATGCTAGTAACACTGTTGGCCAGTGTAAAAATAATAAAAGTCAAACATCTTATTTCTGAAAACATATTATTTTATCTTGTAGGTTAGATTTTTATATAGGTTTTTTCGTAAAACATATACGGAGTATTAATTAATGTATAAAAATCTCTGACCAAACAAAATTTAAGTATATACTCTCTCCGTCCCGGATAATTTGTCCGGTTTTGACTTTTGAAACTGTTCATCTAAGTACTTTGACCCTACAAATTTTCTCAATGTGTAAGTCTAAATATAGTGATGTGTGATCTTGTTTGATTTGTCTTAACATATAAATTATATTATATTAATATAGAATTTTTCTAATTTTTTAATATACAAATTACAAGAGAAAATAGATTAAAGAAATACATTGAATAATGTGTAAAAATGAAAGTGAATAAATATTCTAAAACGGAGGTAGTAATTAATATGTATCCCTCCTAGTTTGGTAAACATATTATGTTATCTCCATGATTTCAAAGTTTGTATCACTACCTTTGTAGTTCTAGACTAAAATATATTTTAAATATTAAATGAATAGTTCTACTACTACTTCATATGGTTTTGGAGTGACATTGTGACACCAAAGCCTATCTCCTTTTTTTCTTTATTTTTTATAAAGTGAAAGAACAATGTTTCCGTTTGATATAATGAAAAGTTATTTTCCAGAATTATTATTTTTCATTTTTCTCTAACGAAATAAAAATTATTTGTTCTTGAAATAAAATTGAAATAAAAAATTTAAAATATAATTCATTTGTCCCAAACTAATTTTTTTAATTTTTTGAATCAATTATTTGTGAATGAGCATTTACAAAATACCTTGATGGGATGGTATATATTGATGGGAGATATCAGTATGGAGGTTTGATATATCTCAACTATTGATCATTCTTAGTCAGTGGCTACCATTGTTACCCTCAACTACCCTCGTTGCCGGTCACCCTCACTTATCACTAATTAAATCATGATTTTAAATCTTTCTAAATAAATCCGTTTCAGATTCTAAAACCCGTGTCATTTCTTCCAAATTTCATAATTCATGTCTTACCCAATCTAACTCTCGCTCTCCATGTCATAACAACTCATTTGCTGGTACCAAACCTTATCCTCTTGACCTCCGAACTCTGTCTTAATTATCGATTTGGTATAGTATTAGAGCACTGGTAATGGTCATGAAGCCCCGGGGCTTCGAACCGGGGCTTCAAACCGGGGCTTCAAACATTCTTTCTCTGCCACGTCAGCTTTAACTAACACCCAAAATTCACTGGAAATGGTTTTGAAGCCCCGGGGCTTCAAACTGGGGCTTCAAACCTTCATTTTTTACATTTTTAAATATACATCTTCTAAAATGAAATTAATAAAATGTAATTAATTTATTATTTAATTAAATTGAAACATGAATAATAATAAAAACATTAATTAAATAAAAAAAGAGACAGCAATTTTAAAAAATATACATTAATAAAAAAGACTAAGGTAAATTATATTTTTTCTTGATCTCTCTCATTCTTTGCTCGTAGATCATTCGTCCAAACTCCAACAAAGTCGCGGGGTTGGTTTTCATGACTTTCATCTCGGCCTCCTGCTCCTTTAGCTTCATGTTACGCAGCAACAGATGGTGCTACCAGATTAAGCTGCGCCAGGTGAAAGGCCCATTGAAGAATCCGGGCGTGAGGATCAAGACGGCCCGGTTAGGGTTGCACGTAGAAGCACGACGGTTCGGAGAACTCCGATTTGGCAACAAGATTATACGGCATGATGTTTGATTATTATTATGACATTTATTTATTATTGTAACTTAAATTTTTGTTAGGTGAGCAGATTATAAGCTTCTTCGAGGGTTTCTTTACGGTTCTTTACCTCGTCGCTTTTTCTTGAACCGTTAGGATAGAAAACGTAATAATTTAGGGGTGGGATTATCTCTCACTATAAATAGAGGTAAACCCTATTTTCATTGAAATAAAGAAGTTAATAACCAAACCCTAATCTTCTCACCTTTCCCTCCTTCCTGTTCGCACGTCGCGCAGCGGCTGCGGCCATTCCCTCTCCCCTCTTCCTTCCTCTCCTTGTTCTTTTCTGGAGTCCGGGGGCACTCGAAGCCTACCCTCACACGGTACGCTCGCCTTATTAGACTAAAATATATTTTAAATATAATGAAAAGTTATTTTCAAAAATTATTATTTTTCATTTTTTTCAAACGAAATAAAAATTATTTGTTCTTGAAACAAAATTGAAATAAAAAATTTAAAATATACTTCATTTGTCCCAAACTAATTTTTTTAATTTTTTGAATCAATTATTTGTGAATGAGCATTTACAAAATACCTTGATGGGATGGTATATATTGAGCTTTTTCAGCTGCGTCTTCAAGAAATCACCGCACTCCAATCACAAAAGACTCTCTAGTTTTGATAAAATATTTTAATACAATTAGAAAATTGAAAACCTAAAAGCAAAAAAGAATAACATGGAAAATTCAAAATGCACAATTAGGGCAAGCCTGCGATTTGATCAGCCCTCTGCATCCCACACCGAATCGCGTGTAAATCCCTCAACAGCAAAGCGAGAGTAAAGCCAATCAGAGCTACGCAGAAGTTGAAGAACACAACAGCTGCGGCGCTCAAGCTCAATCCGCCATTAATGGCGGCAAAGTAGTTCACAAGGGCCAAAACCGAGCAAACGCCGAGCAGAACAGAAATCACCTGATCGATCCTTTCCCGCGTCTGTTTCTCATCATCTTCTTCTTCGTCGTCGCGCTCTCTAGGGTTTCCTTGCACGTGAATCCACTCATCTGCGATTCTCTCTGGTTTGCTCTTCCTCCTGCCGAGAAGAGGGAAGGGGATGATGAATCCGGACCTCTTAGCGTCCTTCTTCATGGACGACTCTATTAGATTCGAGAGAAAAGAGAGGAATCGGAATCGGACAGAGAAGAATGTGTTGGTGGTATGCTGTGATTGGTATCATTGGTATATATGGGAGAGATTGGAGTGAGAGTGGTGTCCATGGAGGAATAGGTTTATTGTGGTTTCCCATGAGGTTGAGTTTGTAAAGAATACTATCCGAGTAATCCTCCATCTTTTAGTTTTAGACAAAAAAAAAAAATAGCAATTTTTCCCATATTATTTCAACTCGTTTTTTGACGACTTTACTTGACTCAACCTTATTCTTTTTTTTTTGTTGATTGTGTTTCAAGAAATAATATCAACATACAAATATTTTATCAATAACATGATACGTTTAAAATACAATTGCATATAAAAATATCCATAAAATTTTACTTTGATACTACATTTCTATCTTACCAAGAATAAATCGCATATAAAAATATAAGTTCAAACGTTATGCCTAAAGATTTTATATAAATTGAAATTTACTTATAATCAAACGTAACTAGCTAGTATTAAAAGAGAAAAGAATAAAAGAATAAACACATTCGAGTCTCACTGGCCCGACTTAGAAACCATCTAGTTTTGGACTGGAATGGACCAAAATTATGTCGAGCCTCGATTATAAGACCGAAGACCATTCAAATTTCACCAAAAGGTCATAAACTAAAAGAGACATTATGAAATGTGACGAAGGGAGCTCTTACTTAGTTCATATGAAAGTCCACCATGAATATTAAGTTCATAGAACAACTTCTCTAAGAAAAATATGTGATGAAATTTAAACTTACAAAGGATGGAGATAAGTTCTAAACATTCTTTTCCTTTTTAAGAAATTTATTTCTATACAAACATTAAAGGAAAAGAAGATAATTATTGTGAGATAAAAGAAGTAATTGGAGTACATTCTTTCTTGTACATCCGCATGAATACTTATTTTTGAGCCACTAAGTACTCATTTTCAAGTAACAGAATACTCATTTTCGAGTAACTGAATGCTAGAGAAATGAGTATTCAATTTATTAAAAATGAGTACTCACTTGCTCGAAAATGATCATTCAGTTACACTTAAATGAGCATTAGTCATGGATGAACGAGAAACACTCGTTTATACAATATATATTGCAAACTAAATGTTCTATTTTAAAATCATATAGCCCTAAAACTCGGGTCTTTTTTACGTGAAGTCTCGATGTCATATTATGACAGTAAGACATTTGAGGAATCATATAGTCCTTTACTATATTATGTAACATTATAAGAGTGTGTTTAGTGAGCAAATAAGAAATAAGTTTTGATATCTTCAAATATCAAAGTTGTTTTTGGGTGTTTAATGAATCCAAAAAGATATCGAACTCGATATCTCAAGATACCATAAATCCTTCAAATGAGAGGTTTTGGTATCTTCCGAGGGTTTTGATATCTCCCGAATTTGGGAGATATCAGTATGGAGGTTTGATATATCTCAACTATTGATCATTCTTAGTCACCGGCTACCATTGTTACCCTCAACTACCCTCGTTGCCGGTCACTCCCACTTATCACTAATTAAATCATGATTTTAAATCTTTCTAAATAAATCCGTTTCAGATTCTAAAACCCATGTCACTTCTCCCAAATTTCATAATTCATGTCTTACTCAATCTAACTCTCGCTCTCCATGTCATAACAACTCATTTGATGGTACCAAACCTTATCCTCTTGACCTCCGAACTCTATCTTAATTATCGATTTGGTATAGTATTAGAGCACTGGTAATGGTCATGAAGCCCCGGGGCTTCAAACCGGGGCTTCAAACCTTCTCTCTCTGCCACGTCAGCTTTAACTAACACCCAAAATTCACTGGAAATGGTTTTGAAGCCCCGGGGCTTCAAACTGGGGCTTCAAACCTTCATTTTTTTACATTTTTAAATATACATCTTCTAAAATTAAATTAATAAATTGTAATTAATTTATTATTTAATTAAATTGAAACATGAATAATAATAAAAACATTAATTAAATAAAAAAGAGACAATAATTTAAAAAATATACATTAATAAAAAAGACTAAGGTAAATTATATTTTTCCTTGATCTCTCTCATTCTTTGCTCGTAGATCATTCGTCCAAACTCCAACAATGTCGCGGGGTCGGTTTGCATGACTTTCATCTCGGCCTCCTGCTCCTTTAGCTTCATGTTACGCAGCAACCGATGGTGCTACCAGATCAAGCCGCGTCAGGTGAAAGGCCCATTGAAGAATCCGGGCGTGAGGATCAAGACGGCCCGGTTAGGGTTGCACGTAGAAGCACGAGGGTTCGGAGAACCCCGATTTGGCAACAAGATTATACGGCATGATGTTTGATTATTATTATGACATTTATTTATTATTGTAACTTAGATTTTTGTTAGGTGAGCGGATTATAAGCTCCTTCGAGGGTTTCTTTACGGTTCTTTACCTCGTCGCTTTTTCTTCCTTCCTCTCCTTGTTCTTTTTTGGAGTCCGGGGGCACTCGAAGCCTACCCTCACACGGTACGCTCGCCTTCGATCATATCAACGGTGCTCTTGTTGAGTCAATCATGTCTGCAAATTCCTCAGCCTTCGCAGAACAATTTTGCAGCAGGAAATTGATGCACGCTTGGCCGCCCACACCTCCCGGTTAGACGCACAGTATGCCCGTGTCGAATCTTTGTACTTGAATCCGCACAATGGACAGATCTTCCACCGGCGTCACACCGGCAGCGGCGAAGGATCTGGAGCATCCTACACGCCGAAGCCAAAGCTTGAATCCCCCAAGTGTGATGGATCCGAATCACTTCGTTGGCTCTATAAGGTTAAGGAGTACTTCGAGTTCTATGACACGCCTTCCAGTGAACGGCTTCGTTGCGTCGCCCTCATGCTCGAAGGACTAGCGGCCGATTGGTTCCACTGGAGAATGAAGAATAAGTTGATTGACGGTTGGGATGACTTTGTGCACAAGTTTAAGCTCCGCTTTGACCCTGACCACTTTGTGGATTACTTCAGACAATTGGCTAAGTTGCGCCAACGCGGGTCCGTCATAGAGTACCAGGAAGAATTTGAGAAAATCCTCCAACATGTTACTGGCGCCAGTGAGGACATTTTAATCTCTCTCTTTCATGCAGGGTTAAAGCACCATCTTCAACAGGAGATCTCTTTGCTCAAGCCCGAATCATTATCCGATTCCTTCACGTTGGCTCGTGAACTCGAGGCCAAACACACAGCTCTCCTCCATTCGGTTCACCAACGCCAGGCTTACATCCCAAACAGTGGGCAGTTGCGGGGGGTTCCTACGGCTTTAAACCTACGCCGCAACCACCCTTGCTGCCAACGCCCCCTAAACCAACACCACCAGGGCTGCCCGGGCACATCAAGCGTCTATCCCGAGCGGAAAAAAAAGCCAAGGATGCTAAAGGGTTGTGCTACAATTGCGATCAAAAGTGGTCACGCACGCACAAGTGCGGCTGTTTCTTAATCCTTTGCGGGGCTGACGAGGATGGCGACGACTGCACACCAGACTCGGAAGATGAAGTAGCCGTAACAGCGGATATCTCCAGCTTAAATAACTTCGCCGGGCTTCAACCACCACGATCCCTCTGTTGGGAAACGAGGCTTGGATAACGCAGCGGAAAACAAAAATTTATAGTCCAAAACTCGATTCCACCCAAGAACAACTTACGTAAATTACTAGCTATAGTAAGAAATTTACCTTAACGGTGAAAACGGAGAACGGAGGAACGGTCGGGGATGGTTTTGAAGAGATGAACGTAGCGCCAAACGTATGAAGCCTCCAACGTATCCACACGAACTTGCTCCGGAGTCCAAAATTAAACTTGTGCTAGCAAGTTTAGTATAGGATAGTAAAAACTATAATAATACTACTTTGGGAGTAATAAATATATATAGTAAAATATTTATCTTATAAATATTTGTTTATAATATTTTGTGTATATTTCTAATACTTTAGAAAAATAACTTTGAACACAAAATAAAATTTTCTTCTCTCTTCTTTGTGATGGCCGAATGTATTAAGTATAAAAGGGGAGGGATTGTTTTTTTCATTTTATAATAAACAACTTAAAAGAATTTCTAGGAAATAGCTTAGGGACAAAACAAATTAGGATTAATGTAATGTCCCCAACCAACACAACAAGACAAATATTCTTTACTAATCAAATATTTGATTATATCAATCAAATATATCATTAGGTAGAAAATCAATTTAAGTCTTGTATTTTTCCCTTTGATATTTTCGGCCATATTATATTATAATATAT